ACGTATGGATGAGAAGTATTCACCCGCGTCCATAGCAATAACCCCAAGCAATTTCCATCACAAATACACATGTCGTAAACCTGCCCCAGGTTGAATGATAACTTTGTGTAGAAGTCCCCCGTATCGAGACTCGTGGTCTCATGTTGAACGCCGTCGTACCGTCGTGACACATTGTCGATTGGGTAAAAGCAGTTGTTGCGCCCGCTAAACAACGTCATGGGAGGGTATCAGTCGGCGGTGTTCCATTTCGGTCCCTGATAACTCCAATACAGCCCCCTCTTCCTATCCTTTCCTCATATCATCATCTACTCTCATACATCGTAGGGAAGTGCATGCTGGCCGAAAGTCCAAAGGGATCGGCATCGAGCATGGGGTCGTACGGGTCGAAGAGGTGGTTGTTGCTCATGCCATTGTAGGCATGGCCTCCGTCGTTGGGCGCCAAAGCTGCTGGGCTCGTAAAGGGTGGGTTCTGCGAGGGCGGCATCGGTGGTGGCATGTTGTTCGACGGCGGGAAGTTCTGTTGCGGGAACGGGCCAGGGCCAGCGGAGTGCTCGCTTGGGTCGTCGTGGTCGTAGGAGTCGGCTTGTTCCTCGTACTCCTGCTCTGTAACACGAAATCAGCCTAGGATTACAAAGCCCTATACTTAAGAGGGGATAGGAAACGGGTCAGCTTGCCGAGTTGACTCATGTGGTCCGTGAACTGTGTCTGGTAGAAAGACGTAGGACCACTGCTCTGAGTTATGCCGTTACCGTTGCTGCCAACAGTAGACGCGCTTGCTATGCCATTTGCGGGAGACTGGTTCGTTACAAGCGACGGGCGCTGAGCACCCATCATGGGAGTGAAGTTTGATCTAGGCGGCTGTGGCCGTAGCGGCTGCTGCTGTTGATGCTGCTGCTGTTGTGGAGGTATAGGCCCAAAGTTGGGAGACACTGATTGACCATGAGGTATGAAGCTGGGCGAGCGCGTTGCTGATTGAGCAGGCGACGAGAGATGCGAGCCAGGAGTGGGTTGCGACAGTGGTGAACGCTGAATCGGCCCATCCGGCTGTATCATAGGCAGGCCATTGACGCTATCAACCTTGGGTGGGCCTTGGAGCGAGCGCCGCTGTTGTTGTCTGTTCAATATAGCACGTTGTTGGAGAGGCGCCTGGTTGGGCGAGGTGTGTGCAGACGCTGGGGCTCTGGTCGGCCCCAGGTTTGGACTGCCAGTCTTCGCGCGCAGCTCGGCCTGGACGTCGATACCTGGTGGAGCAAGAGGTTAGCGTGTGTACCCTGATAGATAGACGTCTTGATAAGATTGGGGCTACCTTTCTCTAGCAGAATCCTCTCGAGTAGAGAATTCTTATACCGGAGCATAAGGCATTCGTCGGCGGCGTTGCGGTGACTGTTCTGCAGGTTCTGCAGCGTATCCTCATGGTGCTTTATGGTGCTCTCCAGCTGCTTGATGTACTCTGTACGGCGCTCACGAAAGGCGGCTTGCGCCTGTCTATTGCGCTGCTTGCGCTCTTCTGAGGTGGCATATATCTTACGACGCTTGGTTAGTCCTATCTTCGACATAGTGATTGGCGATTCAATTGCTGCAGCCATGACAGGCAAGGCAATTGGCATCAGGAAGGCTCACAGGTTTACGGCCGCCTTTGCGCTTCTGCTGCTGGGGCTCTTCCTGGGTATATGTCTCCGCCAGACCGGGTTCGGGCGACGATCCGATAGAGTCGGTCGAACCATCGCGCGAAGCCTCTGCCTTGCCCACGGGGGCCGTCATATCTGTTACGAGACTATCTCCCATCTACGGCCACCGTACCCCTCCGTCCAGATAGAGGGGCACCGAGGCGCCAAGAGCTGCGAGAGATGCGACAAAGGCAGGTCGAAGGAGATAGCAGGAGGCTCTGGTCGCTTAGACGCGCTTGTGCTGGGCAGCCGCAGCGCCGGGTCGAAAATCGATACGGTTTGTATGGGGTTTTGATAATGTATGATAAGAAGAGGGCGTTCGGGCCTGTGTGTGGTCGCGCAGTAGTTGTGAGGTAAGCTCTTGGGTAATGGAAACAGAGATGGGCTCGAACGGAGGGGCGGAGTGCTGGACTTGAAAAGGCGGGCGGACCACTCTCTGCTGCCCAGATCAACTCCTCCCGTGTGGTTAAAGCTCGCTCGACTCGCCTCGCCCCAGAAGGCCTCCTCTCAGGTGCGCAGCAAATGGCAGCCGTGCTCCCGCTGCTGGGCACTTCGCACGCGCAATGACGGCCAAGCGAGCGGGTGCGCGGTTGGCCGAACGCTCAGAATTTTCTCGCGGGGTGCTCACGCTGCATCACGGCTCTCGCTGTGCCAGACGCCTGGTGGACGACGCCGAACATGGCTGCCCCAGCCGAGCTGGATCGCGATGCCCCATGCGGCGTAGCCTGGTGGTTAGCTCCCGCGCCACTAGAAAGTTTTGTAGCCTTTCTCCGGCTTCTCCATGGACGCGCAGGCAGAGCGCGAGCCTGGGACTGTTATCTAGCAGGCGGCGCCCGTTCGAGCGCGATCAACTCGCGACGTGTATGCGTCTGTCTGATTCCATCCACGCGGCCATGAAGTCTTCCCGTGAAAAGCAAGCAACCAGCCGTCGTCGTCGCATCCACGCCAGGCCACCGACGTCGGAGCGCGCCCCTGCACCGGGGCCACGCACCTCGCCCTTATGAAGTCACCCTACTCGCGGACGGCATAGGTAAGGCTGACGAGCAGGTTCCATCTGGATGATCTGATATGACGAGGGTTGCATTATCGGCGCAGCTGCCGATAACGATCGATACGACTGCAGTCAATCTATACGACATGCCTCACCGATGAACCTGGGACGTCTCTCAGCCGTGACCAGGACAACGCCCGTAGCCGTCACGCTCAAAACTCTCAGGGTCATCACGTGGCTGCCCCGGGCCTACTAGTGGATGCCAGATCTTGGAGGAAGGAGCCACCAACGGTCGCATCTGCCGTGTGCACTGCACACCACCGCCGCACAACTGGTACTCTGGGCACGTTATTCCGCCAACGCAACCACCGGCTCCCGAACCGCTACCGAAGTCTGGCCTGGGGATCGCCGAGGTCGTTGCTTTATGCACTGCTTGAGCTCTGTTGGCCCGAAGCAGCCGTAGCGTCACGACGCTTTTTCTCGGCTGAGCAAGCAGGTGACCTATGGGGCGGGCGGTCGAGACTCGTACGAGGACATTAGTTGCACCCTGTCGCATCGTGACCTTCCAGCCGTTGTTCGAATAGTCGAGACCCGTCAAATCGGCAACGGACATTCGGCATTGCCTAGGTGCGGACTGTCGGATTCCATACCTGAGTGCTTTTGAGCAGAAAGCATCAAAGTGCCAATTGACGTCCGCTCATGTACATTGTGAACCGAATTCCCGGAAAGTCTATCCTTTACACGTAGAGGTTTGCGAGTATGAGGATGGCCTGAAAAGGTAGTCTCACTGAATCACTGTAGAACACCTCACAGACATGATATATGGACTGAGATTCTCATTAGCGCGTCTGAATACATTGCTCAATTACTTCGACGCAGTGAGATGCGCTCTTTCCAAATGTCAGGTTTGTTCCTGTCAACTCCAACCGCCACGTGCGGTACAATCGTGTCAAGAGCAAGCTCACACAGGCTCCTTCTCTCCCTCCTAGATGCAATGTTGCGAGAGATCGTGACATTCGACCTCCACCATGCACACCTCAGGCGACAGTCCTCACCCCTACCAGGATATCTAAGCATCGCATAGTCTCATATGACTTCCATCCTGTTTTCAGCAGTATAGATCCCGCATCAATCACTCGGTCAGCTTCTAGTCGCTAGTCGCCAGCTTCGCGCGCAGTCTATCGTTCACGAGGTGCTCGGCGCGATATCGCTTCTCAGAGCATTGCTGACGGTAGGTAGCAATGACCTTTTCCGAGATCGCGGGACGGCTGCTGAAAGGGTCAGGACACTCGCAGCCGCCGCCTGGCAAAGAGCACCTAATCGAATCTCATCCTTCGCCAGAGCGAGCCAGCATTTCCTCCTTCCTAGCTTCGCCCGAGTCAGACAACGGTCATATCACAGCCCGCGAAGGCATGCTCAGCATCCATCTTGGCGAACAAAGAGGACACTCCACTGCCTCTTCGTGGGCGAAACCTAGACCTTTATCAGACATTCGCGAAGTCACCGAATCAAGCTTTGCAGACACTCTACCTCGGAACGCCCTGACAAACAACTTTCCCCGGAGCACCTCTCGCACGGAGATGTCGCGGAAGCCCTCTGTTGCGACGAGACGACGTCCGAGCAACGACAACCGGTACGGTGAAAACGTAGAACCTGACAGAAAGAATAGCATCGAAAGCAACGGCATAAGATCCAACCACAGGGGTCGGACGTCTAGATCACCATCACCATCAAGCCCCGCGGATAATCACAGCATATCGAGCATATACAGCATACCAGCCGGCACCATCCCACCACGATCGTCCTCGCGACCTCGGGCACCTAGCACTTCTCGAACCCGACAGCCGCAGCAGATACCACCTATACACATAACCCAAGCGACTGCGACGAACACGCTCAGCGCCATACCTACTATACCGTTTCCGCCTCCTAGCAATAATACCAATACTATCATTCGACATGGTCAATCGCAGTCCCCCTTGCGCCACATTGTGACTCGCCTTGACCCCATTACTCATGACACCCACCGACGCATACCCTCCAGAACATTTGTTCGCGATCCACTATCGAAAGAACTGCTAGAGTTTCCATCACACCGACATCCGCGAATTGACCTTGGCCTGGACTTATCCGCAGGCATTTTCGTGGGCGGAGGCTCCATCGAAGGGACCGTCCAGATAAACGTCGACGATGCAGAGCGAATACGTCATAGAAGGACTCTGGACATTGCCCGGATATCTATCGATCTTCTTGGGACGGAGGAAGTGAGCGGCAACAGACGAGCTGTCTTTCTCAACCTCGCTACAGAGCTCATTGATGAGCAGAATCCACCGCCTCAGAACATGGTAGATACCCAAGAGCCCATAAGCTCGGCAGATCTTTTCTGGCATCTCATGCCTTCTACGACCAATCTCGCGTTCAATCTGAGCCTACCTCTCAACGTTGGTCCTCCGCCCTTTCATTCCAAGAATGCGAGAATCCGCTACATACTTTGCGTGTCACTTCTTATTCGCGATCAAGGAAGGCAGTACATTGTCAGGACTTCCGAAGATGTCACAGTGCTCTCAGTGTACGATCGTATGAGGCATCTAACTTTTCAATCCCTACTCTCACAGTGCTGACATGCTCGCAGCTGAAAAGGCACTCATGTCGCTACCTAGTCCACTGACTGCCTCAGACGAGTGGATAAAGCCCCGAGAAACCACCGTCGAAGTTGTGCGCGTCACTGCAGGCTTGCATCGACAAGTGTGGGTCAGCGGAACTAGTCTCTACGTCGATGTTCATGTTGCCAACAACAGTCGCAAGCTAGTCAAAAAGATTGAGCTTCAGTTGGAAAGGGACATACTCTGCTACAAACACGTTTGTTTTGCGAGCTTGACATACTATCTTGTCATGATGCTAATGAAAGTGCTTTGCAGGTTGCTGCGGCCACGATGGAGAAGTCTGCGGGTCAGGCTCGCATCTTTGACAGCAACGAGCGGTCTATCCTCAGTAAAGCAGTCGTCAAGCATGGTTGTGCCGGCTGGAACGGTGTTTCTGCACAACAGACTCATATCAGGACCTGTGATCTCGAAATACCCCGTGGCCACGGTACGGTGAAGTGTGGTATGTACATTGGCACGAAGTCTTGCAGTCATTTCCTGACTGAGAAAGGCAAATACTTCGAAGTCAGATACTTCTTGAATGTCATTGTAGCCAGCGGGCATACGTCAGTACTGCTATCTCTCTGACCGACCAAGCTGACTTCCTGCAGAAAGCTCGTAGCCGTCCAACTACCAATTGTACTCATCCACATGGTGCGTCTTATAACTACCCCTCCTCTACATCCGCTAATAAATGCACCTCAGAACTCTCTCGACGTGGTCCCCAACTCCGTCGCCCAAGTCGCCATGGCCATTGAAGAAAAGCGCACAGCCCGCCACTCTCCACCTCGCCTCGGTCGCCGCCCATCTCAATCCGTCCAAGGCCGCGCCTTCGCAGCACCGCGCATGCAATCCCTAGAACGCATGCGCGCACGCGACGAAGCCATCCAAGAACTCGGCCAAGCCCTCGAGCAAAGCCCTCGCAAATACGGTCTTCGTCGCGCAAACTCTAACTTCGACTACCGCACCCCGCCTTCCAATCGCAAAGGCAGAATCCTAGGCGATGGCGAAGCAGCAGATCTCCAAGACCGTCTGCGCCGTGTAAGGTCAAACGAGACGATTGGATCGCGACCCCCGACTCTACACCGCATTAATTCTACACGGTCCAGACGAGGCGCTGCATCAGCTTTTGGATTTCGAGAAGCAGAGGTTCGAGAGGACATTGAGCTTGGGGGACTGGGTGCATCGGGCGATGGGCCATTGAAGGAAAGGTTGGAGAGAACTAGTGATCGGCAGTATCGGTTCAGCAAGAAGAAGAGCGTGGAGAAATGGAAGGGTGTAGCGAATGTGGGGGTTGGGTGGCTGAAGGGGAGTGGGGTTAAGGATGAGAGGGAGAGGGAGGGATGGGTGTGATATGCGCGCTTTTCTTCCCTTGACAGGCTTCCTGTACGTTGGATAGCGCGTTCGTTACGTTGAATGATGATCACTTTTTCCTTTGGTTCTGCTTGACTGTGCCAGCGTGGTCAAAAGTAAGTGTAATGTTATTTGATTGAGTCCGTCCTATGATATCCTGAATGCTTTGATATATGATACAGTCATGCCTCGTAGTAGTCATTAACCCCCTCTTCATCTTCCTTATGCAATATCATACAGTATTATACATGGTGTGTCGAGGTGATCGTGATAGAAAAGCTTGCGCAGTGGCAGAGTGCCGTGCAGCTAGAAAACTCATGACCTGCTCTTGGCAAGCTCAGACTGAGCAGTCGATGTAGGTCCGCCCTTAACGCGCTCTCCACCGGTGACCTTCTTCTCTCCCTCGGTGATGTCATGTAGCGCCTCGCTGGTGATGGGCTCCTTGGCATGACTCTGCGCCTGCGCAGTAGGACCTCCAGGTACAGGTCCGTCCTCGCCGGTAAGCTTCTTCTCCGCATCGGTGATCTTGCTCAGTGTCGACGAGTCTAGCTTTCCTGATGCGTTGGAAGTGTTGGCGCCAGTGTTGTTATTGTTGGACGGAGCTGAGCCGGCTGTGAGAGCAGACTGAGCGATCGATGTAGGACCTCCTTTCATGACTTCGTTGGAGCCAGTGAGCACCTTCTCGCCCTCGGTGATGTCGTGGATGACTTGTGCAGTGAGGTTCTGGCCAACGTGCTGTTGGGCTTTCGCGGTAGGGCCGCCCTTGTGTGGCTCGTCCTTGCCGGTGATCTTCTTCTCGGCAGCGGTGATCTGCGAGATGAAGTTGGAGTCGACCTGGACAGACATGATGCGTGTTGTTGTGAAAGTGCGGTGGTTGCTGAGGTCGTTGATGTTGTTCTTGAGCGGTGCTCTTTGCGATGTAATGCGAGCTGCTGGTCGTGCTGCGAGGAAAACGTTGCGGTTGATACGGAGGAGTCTGGAAGCCATTGTTGCTGCTTGTTTATATGTCGATGGATGATGAACTGGAAGATGCGAGTGTGTGAGGTGTACAAGCTGAATATGTAGTGTGATGGAGTACTGATGTAATGCGAAATTGATATCGTCTGAGGTGTGCGCTCAGCGTGACGTTTACTATGGGGAAAGATGGATTGCAATGCGCATTTGCAACTTGTCGGTCTGCCCGTGCACCGCAAATCTCTGCATCAATGGCGACGACATCGTGCTGATGACCCTGAGATGCAGGTACCACATCTCCGATGGACGCGGCGACTGTGCGATGCGCGCGCATCATGTGGTGGAGCCATGATGTCAGCATTCTGGGGAACTGCGCCCATGACGATTCGGGTGCACTAGCGGTGAGCTAACATGGCCATGCGTTTTAGGGGTCCAGATGCAAACTCCACAACATCAATTACGACGCGATCAATGCAGAATGTATTTGCTCAGCTACTGAAGGTCGTTCGAGTGGGCGTAGTTCACTTCGGCCTGACGCATCGGAGATTGCGGAATTAACGGCTTTGGTGGCGCATGTCAGACCATAAGAGGTTCTCGCCCGTTGCTTGATTGCAACGCCATTGGATATCATCAGCCGTCGCTTCGGTCGCACCTACGTGTACGGCATGCGTTACGCCTTGCTGCGTTTGGGGGAACAACGAGTTGCTCCGAGATGGCACTCGCGGCGATAAGGCGTGCGACTGGATTACTGTCAGGCCGTTGCAACAGAAGCTGACAGCCGTATAAGAGGGTTGCTACAGTGGATTTCACGTACACAACATTAACGATAGGATCAAAAGTTGACTCATCGCTGCGTAGCTTGCGAATTGAGCTTCCAGCTTCTGATCCAGCTACAATGTCATTCATTAATCCAGCCGCACCCGTGTCTCTCTTGGGCAGACATCGGATCCTCAGTCCCACAGCAGCCGTCCGGGTCTCTCCTCTTTGCCTCGGTGGCATGAATTTCGGTGAAGCATGGAAGGCTACTCTCGGAGAATGCACCAAAGAAACGGCCTTTGCAATGCTGGATTACTTCTACGAGCAAGGCGGCAATTTCATCGACACCGCCGTCAACTACCAGTTCGGTGAGAGCGAAGAGTGGATTGGTGAGTGGATGGAGGAGCGAGGTGTTAGAGATGAGATGGTACTTGCGACCAAGTTCACTGGTATGCAGATCACCGAGAGAGAAAAGGATGGCGGTGCGAGGTGCAAGAGTAATTATGGAGGTAATAGCGCGAAAAACATGCATACGAGTATTGAGCGGTCCTTGAAGGCGCTCAGGACTAGCTACGTCGATATCGTGAGTTCCTGGCTCGGGCTCTGTGTTCCGCAACGACTGTTGTGATTGACTGCCTCATAGTACTACGTCCACCTGTGGGATTCAACAGTCTCCATACCAGAGCTAATGAACGCACTCAACGATCTCGTCTCCTCCCGTCGAGTACTTTACCTAGGCATCTCCGACACCCCAGCCTGGATTGTCGTAAAAGCCAACTGTTACGCCCGCCAACACGGTCTCCGCCAATTCTCAGTGTATCAAGGCCGCTGGTCCGCCGCCGATCGTTCTTTCGAGCGCGAAATCATTCCAATGGCACTAGACGAAGGCATGGCTCTTGCACCATGGGGCACCATCGGCGGAGGAATCTTCAAGACAAAGGCGCAGAGAGACAATCCAGAAAACGGCGGCAGAAAAATGGAGATGATGGTCATCGGCAACGAGGAAAAGGTCAGCAACGTGCTCGAAGATATCGCAAACGCAAAGTCTCCGGTCCCGCCTATCACTTCCGTCGCTCTCGCATACGTCATGCACAAGTCACCTTACGTCTTCCCCATCGTCGGCGGTCGCAAAATTCCGCATCTCGAGGGCAATATCCAGGCTCTTGGTTTGAGTCTTACGCCTGAGGATATCCAGCACATTGACGCGGCTTATGGCTTCGAGATGGGGTTCCCGCATCAGTTCCTGAATCCAAGGAATACGGCAATCTTGGAACCGGAGGATAATCGGTTTGCGAATAACATGGGCGTTTTGGATCACGTCAAGGGGCTGAAGCCGATTCCGCCGCATCGGGGGGTGGTAGACGAGAAGTGACTGGTCCTTCCGTTGGAGCAGGCGACTTGATATTCGCCGATAAAAGATTGCATATGTTAGCACGTAGAGACTACGAAAGGTGAACGGGATAAGGCACACATTGCAAAGTCGGAGCGCGAAGGCTTCAAAAGCTTTCCTGTTATAGAGGCTGAAGAGACAAGTCAGTCTGTAGCTTCCCTCTTTCATCCTCGTCCTCAAACTCTAATCGCTGAAACTAGATGTCGATTGCAACTGCATGCATTCACTTTTTGTGTGTGCCAAGGAACGGAGTTGCAGCCTTCGCTTCCTCCTGCTAGTCCCGATTCGTTTGTACCTCTTCATGCACCGTTGTGTTCGCCATCTTAGCTCCAGCCTGGAACGAATATCCTTCGGCGCCGACTTCAAGCACCCACTAAGCCCTGAGTATGATTTCAACACCCCTTTCCGATGTCTGAATGGACTCAAAGAGAAGGTACAAGTGAACTATGACTTCTTCACTACTCCGTTCCGCCAGCCCAAACGTTCGCGTAGAAGACGAGGTCTGGGACATGATCTTTCCTGACGCAAAGACCACAAAGAACAAAAAGGCTGCTGGGGACACCGCTCAGTCACCCAACCCGATCACCGCCAAAGACATTGACATCCGAAATTGGTCCTCTACAGACCGCGAGAAACTCGAGTCCGAATACGACCGAATCAAGATCTTCGTTGACGATGAGTTCATCACAACAATCTCGAAGCCACTGTTACGCGCGATTTCGACAAAGACCAGCGAAATCCTCGTAGATGATGCAGTCGTACTACCCGCAGCCGTTGATGCGGATGCAGTGTCTCGACTTATCAAATACCTCAAGGACATCATTGCGAATCCGGGCAAGTTCCCGCCATTCGTCCTTTGTCTACCCATGACAACATCTCTGAACGTCTGTGCTGCGGCCTCGGCCCTTGGAATGGACAAATACGTCGATGATCTATACGCCCAGTGTGAAGACCTCTTGAAAACGTCCCTACCCTCTTGGGCGACTATCGACGCCATTACTTCATATGCGACAACGACACCGCACTTCTCCCGCCTCTTCCGCATCATGATAGCCGGCCTCGCTAAACGCGTTTGGAACGAAACAGCCTCCAATGTGGAAATCTTCCAGATCCAGCTGACTCCCGTTCTCGACAAAGCGGTCAAAAGGGTGAATGAGAAATACAGGACCCTTTCTCAAAGAAGGAAGATGTATGAGAGACATAAGCGCTTTTCGCTCAGAATGGAAGCAGCTGGGTATGGAGAGTGGGATTGGGGGCGGAAGGTGGTTGGGAAGAAAGATGAGGCGGGGGTTGAGTGGGATGAGTATCATGGGCCTGCTAGGAGATCACATGTATGAGGTGACTTTTAATGTACTAAAGAGCAAGACGACTATACCAATTGTCCGTATAAAAATTACTCTGATGAGAGCGATGTAAGTGAACCGCCCATGACTGCCCGTCCACCCATTTCCACATGCTCTTGTTTAGCTCTTATTTACCCTTCCCAACAGCCTCAAAAGCATACCCCCTAGCCTTCGCCGTCTCTTTCATCCTCCACCCCTCAATATACCCCTCCACATCCTCACACCCATTCTGCTCCCCAGGAACAGGCTCCCCCCACGTCCCCCAATACGGCACAACACCCGTCCACGTCCTCTTCACCAACGCCTTATCCCCCAAATCCTTCCTATCCTCACTCGGTCCCCCCGTCCTAACCTTCGCACTCGCACTCTCAACCCTAACCCTAAGTATACTCGTACTCTTCAACTCCGCACTACTCGGGGGCACCCTACTCTTCTCCCAGCGCTCCGGCAACATATTATCAGTAATAGCTTTCATAGCGTACAGCGCTTCGTCGGCGTCCTCGACGAGTTCAGCGTAGCCGTAGACGATGGCGGAGCGGTAGTTGCACGAGTTGTGGAAGGGGGTTAGGGAGAGGACGAGGCCGTCGAGGAGGCTGGCGGCTATGGTTATGGGGAGGCCGGGGGTGGAGGTTTCTTTTGAGGACTTGAAGATGCGGCCGGAGATGTAGCCGTGGATATAGAGGGCTTGGGGGGTGGTTGATGGGTCGGCGGATTGCTTCTGTGCGGGTGGGTTAGTATATTGCTGTTTTATCTGCCCGTCGACTGGTCGCTTCGTGGTGGTGTGATAGAAGGAAGTGACGTACCTCATAGTTACCCGTACACCCCAACATTGGCAAGACGACCGGGAAAGGGTGTTCTGGGTCGACGAAGGATACGTGGAGGATTGGACAAGCGTTTACTAGACTGTGGATTGTTGCGTAGTCGTATGTGCCTGGGGTTGTTGGTGTGAGTATGCGATTTTAAGTACGTAGGAGCGTGAAGGAGATGATCCTACCTCGATTCGCCAACCGACCGAGTTTGTTGACAGCGGTTTTGGGGTATTCTGGTGATGCCATTGTGTAACGTTTGTTGCCGGATCTTTGAAGTGACTTCGTTCGGGCGGCAAGAAAGTACTGTCGAAGAGGAAGTGTTGCTGAATGCTGAAGTTGAACTGAAGTGCAACAGTATGCGAGGTTCAATCAAGCTTTGTACTTTTCGCTCGAAGCTTTCTGTGACTCCTACTCCGTGACTCCTTCAATACTCACATATGCACAGACGCGCGACGTTCATTAGGCGCACCACCATACACGTCCCAAAGAGTATGGAGAGATGACGGCACCCGGCAGGACTTGCTGCATGCAGAAGCGGGGCCGTAATCGTGTGAGTAATCATTGGTTGATAGCGTCTACAATGCGCGACTACTCTGCTCGCGTACACAGTCAGGCGTTTAGGGCGTCAGGAGTCATGAGTAGCTTTACAACATTGTACGTACCGCGGAACATTGGCTCCGGATACTTCGGGCTACCGACGGTCTGTATACAAATCAGAGCTGCAAGTATGAGGCGATAGTATTCCATATCCATCTATGATACTAGACAGAGTACAACATGTAGTCAAAGTAAACCTAGTCCCAATCCAATCCGGGAGAGCCTCAATGGGCGATGCAGTCCAAAAGTCCAATTCCTTAACTCCGTTCCATGCAATTCTTCTTCCGCTCTTCTTGACTCATTCTCCAGTCTATCATCTGAAACTCCACGCCGTCCTCAGTCCACCATTGACACTCTCCAACTTCAGACACTGATACGGACTGCTCTGCGGATCATAATACAACCCTTCCAGCATCCCGCTTCTCCGGTCAAGCGCCACGTAGTAGAACCCGCTGATGGTAAGCCCGCAGCCCGAGTCGTCGAATGTCGCTTGTTCGGCGTCGTTCGTTACGGAGTTGAAGAGGGGTTGTGGTGTGATTTCGACCTCGGCACGGCCAGTTTGCGCGTTGCGGACTATGCGGTACGGCGAGGGCTGAAGTTGCGAGGTATGCGTGGAAGTAGGAGCGGCGGGTGCGTAGTTGGAGGAACCTGTCGAGGCCCAGGGATTGGACGGTGGAGGGTCGGCGGAGAAGGAGGAGGGTATCGTGGTGGAGGGTGGGGGCTGAACGGGGTCAGGGGTGCTGCGGTTCAGGCTCTTTACAAAACATCGCTCTTTCCAGCGCATAAGTATCCAGTTCTGACCCAGGACTTCTGTGAGCCACTTCTTGCTCGTCAGGGCCCTGACCACGTCTTCGTCGCTCATCTTCTGGAAGGGGGGCAGTTTGCGCCAATATGTTGCGTCGTTTGCGGCGTTTGATTTGAAGGATTCGGTGAGGAGGGTGTAGTTGTTGAAGTCGAGGATCTCGCCTTCAAGGTAGGTTGTGATAGAGGATGTGCGCGTGACGGACGCCGTGGCATTGCCGGGAGAAAACATGGTGTGCGGATGCGGGTGGGAAGGTACGTTATACGCTTCCATGGTTGCGGAGAGAGACATCTGCTCCCAGTCCACGTCGTGTATGGTGACCTTGACGGGCCATCGGTCTTGGTGCGGTTGTGCGTCGGGCTGCGAGTTCCGGCTGGTGGAGACTTCGCTGGGATTCCATATCCACGGTCGTATGGGCGGTGGGAGTCCTGTGTGCCGGCTGTATGTGGTAGTCGCGGCAGCGGGCATGGTCGTCGCATGCTGACAGCCCGAGAGTATCGCGCCCGGTGCCAGCCACGATGTCTCGGTAGGCGGCGGTATGGCGAGGGTGTTGGCGACGAAGTCTGCGTGCTGCAGGAAGAAGTCCTTGGTCAGGAAACCGGCGTCTCGCGCACGCTCCCAGCTCTCGTCGTCGTCGCGCGAGTGGCGTATGCGCGACAAGTACTTGACGGTCTGCTCCAGCATGGGCGACGTGCGGGCCTCGGAGTCTCGGTGCGAAGACATCTGGCGGGCGGAGCGTTCTCGCTGGACGGTCTCGGGGAAGAGGCTGGACCTCGCGGCAAGCATGTCTCTGAGGCTGCGGTGTGAAGCGTGGCGTGGCGGTGCTTCGCTGCTGGTGGCGGCTTCCCTGGTGCGCGCTGAGAAGCGTGGATGGCGGCGCACGCCTGCCGACTGGAGGATGGCCGTCGACCTCAGCGAGCTCTCGGGCGCGCCCGGGGCCTCTGTGGCAGGCGACCAGTCATACAGGCTGTTCTGACTGGGCACGCGGTCGCCGTAGTTGTTGTCGCTGAGGCGGCTGAGGCGACTCATGACGCGGCGCAAGCGATCCCGCTGCTCCAGCTCGTCTCGCTGCCTTTCCAGCAGGCGCAATCGCTCCTGGGACCGGTCCAACCGCGCCTGGTCGCGCTCACGTGCTGCGCGGAGATAGTCGACGTGGGCGCGTTCGATGTCGTCGTCGCTGGGAATGCCTGCTTCGTCCGTCGGGGTGCCCAGCGTGGCGGCGAGGTTGAGCACGTCGTCGTTTACGGGGCTTTCGAGCTCGCGCAGGGCTGAGATGAAGGTGGGTTCCGCGTCGTCCTATTGAGCGGCTACGTCAGTCATGCACTTAGACCACGGCTATGTGACAACATGTGGACGGCAACATCTGAACGGCGGGTGCTTACAGGCGAGTTGGCGGGCGGCATTATGACCAAGCAGGCGGCGCAGCGGGCATGGCGGGACGGAGCGATGGATGAGCTGTCGCATGCAATGCACGACGTCGGATGCACGATGTCTCAAGAGCAAAGGCGTGTCCTCGGCGAAAGTGACGCGACATGTCAAACTCTTAAGCCTGAGCCATTGCCCCGAAAAACCAAAGACAGCGCTGCCTGGCGACCGTCACGGCACCTGATAGCGCACGCCATCTCGCCATGCACTTCCCCCGTTGTCCCGCTGCTGGCTTCCGCTCCGCCCTGCCAATAGTCGGCGCTGAGAGGCAGGCCGCACAACTCAATGCATCCTCGCTTGCCCCAGATTGCCCTCCTCAGTCCCGCGGGCATGGGTGGGTGGTCTGTGCGGCTACCATAACCTCAACTGCAAGCATCACATTGACGACGCTGGAGAAAACGTAGCCTATCTCATAGCAGGCAGTCAGTCTTGCGGCAGAACTAGGCATTGATGACTTCCAACTCGTACGCTCTAGCACCCCATTCAAAACCTCATCACGGCAGTCGCTCCTTCCTCTCCAACCCCTCCAACCCCTCCAACACCACCAAAATCCTTCCCACCAACTCCGCAAACTCCCCATGCTCCCCCCACGTATAAGGCCCCAACCTCGCCCTACTCGCCCTCACCAAATGCATCAAATTCCCCCTCAACTCCCTCCTCGGCTCCTCATTCGTACACATCGGAAACCTCAAATCCAGCAACGCACTCGTCGCCGTCTCCACCATCGTCTTGCTACACCACACATGAAACCCATGCATAATCACATCCTCCAGACTCAGCGGCGCGTGCACCGTCCCCGGTGGCATAATTAGCAAATCCCCTTTCTTAAGGTAAATAGGGTATCCGGGTTTATTTGGCGCGTACTGAATCCCAGCTTGACGCGAGGCGGCCCATTCCTCGCGTTCAGAGTCGGAAAGCGACCACGTAAACCAGAGTTTCGAGCCAGTCTCACACAGCACACCGGTGTAGAGGCCGTGCTCGTCGATGTGCGGGAAAGACCATACGCCTCGTTTTCCCCAGAGCGCGAAACCAGTTTTACTAGAGAGATCGCTGGGGTTCGGGTCTGAGTGGTTGGACATGCCACCGTATTCCGTCGCTTCGGATAGGATGCTGTAGTCGGTTAGGTTGTCGAGCTCCCAGGGTAGGACGTTTTGCCGCACGGGCCGGATGTCGAGCAGGTTTATCGGGAGGGCGGTTGGGTCGGACATGCGGTTTAGGGCGGTGGAGATGGTGAGCCGGCGGGTTATGTTTTTGGATGTGAGGTCTTGGATGTCCATGTAGGGTTCGGTTGAGGCGTGTTTGCGGAATTTGAGGACCGCTTCGTAGTGTTGGGCAGAGTAGAGCGTGCGGGGCGAGGGGCTGTTGTTCAGCTCTAAGGGGATGAGGAGAGGGATTTGGAGGGTCAACCGTTGGAGTAGGTCGCGTGCTTCTGTTGACGTGCATATGATGAGGTTGTTGTGCCAGGTCGGTGTGGGCTCCTGGATGCGCTGCTCGTATTGTGTGGCGGTGATAGGCACAACATCTTCTCCGGGCTTGATCATGTCGATGTAGCTTTGAGACTCTGTGATGAATCTCCTCTTCCGGGCTTGCGCGATATCAGACTCTTGAACATGCATATTCAGCTCTTCTAGCATACCTATCCCACTCTCGAGCGATGACCTTGCGGTAGCACGATAGCTCCTGATGAACTCTTCATTCTCGATGGCTTGATGCATTTTTGAATAACAAGAACTGATTTCTCCAAATTGCTGAATGATAGCTTCTGACAAGCGCATCCTTTTGCATGGAGGAGGGCTATTTGCCGCATCGTCTCTATTCTTGGTGGTTGTTTGGGGATCAGCAAACATCCTTGCAGCCGCTGAATGTACTCTCGAATAGGCGGTTACTCTTCCAAAGAAGTTCACAGGATATGAAGACGGTTATATTCATCCCGTAAGGTGCTTGTTACCCAGGCGAGCTCACTCTCGAAGCAGACTATTCAGCTAAGGACTATCGCGCACGCTTAAGAAACGTCGATGAGTTTCGACAAAGGTCTACGAGCCTCGGTGCCAAAAGATTGCAGGCAAACAACCTGGTCCGAGGTTTGTGCAGACCCCTAGACCTCAAGGGCATTCCCGCTGACCTCCTTCCGTTTGAGAAACACGTAGCGTAATATCTATCCCTACGCAGACTGAGTGCTTGAGTAAATCTGTGATACCTTCCAGTAGATCTGGGTCAGTATGTGGATTGCGTCTTGAACTTCGTGGCGTCTAATCAAGGATAATTTGTTAGTACGAAAGCAGAGAGATATGAGTAATACGTTTTTCCGATCACCGAAAGAAGGAGGGGATTGAGTTACTTACTCGTTTACTCGAGAAGCCACACTTGCATCAGGATATCGTGCAAGGAAGGCTTCATGCATCATGAGACATGCAGCAAGCAGGTCGTGCTTAGCTATCCTACATCATGCGTAACCCCGGGCAGGGAGTTGTATGCATATCCTCGTGATGTCGAGTCATTTTACAAACAGTCTTTGCTGCATGTAAGTACATCTGACAAGTTGACCTCCGCGTATCTGTCTTTCCTTTACTTTCTGTATGCCACTTGGGCCTGGCCCCTGACCTATCCCGTGATCATTAGTTGCTCAAGTCGCAGTAAAAGTCGTCTTGGCGAGCCCTGCTAGGCAGAAGTGTGATCAATTGGGCGAGATCGGCTGTCCCTGTCATTCACTGCCAAGACCACTTGGTGCCCCCCTTCTTTATATAGGTCCTCCCGCTACCCTAGTCTAATATCTCTTTTTCTACGAAAGCATCTTATACCTCAATCTTCAGGTCTACAGTTGAGAATTCCCGCCATAGAATCCAGCCACGATAACCTTCTACAACACACCTAGAACACCACTTGTGTGTAAAATTCAATAACCGTTTTGCTTCGCGACCGATTCTGACGGCTACAGAGACACGCGACGACTCATATCAAAATGTCCGACAACACGGTAGTCCCCACGCCTACTTCAAGCGCTTCTCTCAGCGATCAAAAGGTCCCCGGTGGTCTCGAGCACTTCCGCACCCTCGGTCCTATCCAACGCCAAAATCTGGTCATGAGCAACAAGGCCCAGCTTGTGGATCACCTAGGTAACGCTATAATGTCCGGAAACAATTCCACCGAGTTACCGATCGCTCTCTTTGAGGCCGTCTCAGAGAAGCATGAATTGGTTGTCGATGGCAAGATTGTAGTTCCAGAGGGCATCGATATCAAAGCTCTGAACTACCTTGTCTCCCTGGTACTAGCACTACCAACCGCGCCGAAGGTGTATCAGTTCCAGAAGTATGTGGTCAGAGACTTTAGAGGGCAACCCATGAAGGATGTCGAAGACACCTTCAAAGACCTACATCTTTGCTGCGCCGCAGATGCATTGGGCATCGGCTCCTTCACCCAAGGCATCTTCAACCACTTCTTTAGTCGTATCAACACCAAAGTCCCTCCCACAGACGTCATCAACATCATCACCGCCGCCAACAATCCAACGGGCAACAAGCTGTTCAAGCAGATGGCGTATACCATGGCGACAAAGCTCAACGATGGAACTTTCCCCGACCCCGAAGGATTCAAGCAGAAGTACCTCACGACCAATCCCCGTCTCTCCGAAACCATCGACCGCTTTCTCACCAACATCACGGAGACTGATGCTCGTAACGCTGAGTACCAGAAGCGAGAGGCTGGGCGCCAGCAGTATGCTGCTCATAATGCACAACACGAGGCTTGGAAGGCAGCGGAGAAGACACGTAAGAAGCAACGCGAGGCCGATGAGGCTGCGCGGTGGGCGGCAGCTGGCGTGTCGTACCGGAAGAAGGTCAGTCAGGGAAAGAAGAACTTTACTCTGCTCGAGGTGAAGTGGGCTGATAAGGTGGCGGGGAAGAAGGTTTATCCTGGAACTGGTAATTGATCAGGTATTGATGTCAGTAGGGCGCGAGTTGAGGTGACTTTAGTGGTTGATGGGATGCGCGGGCTCGTGTGGAAGACATTTTGCGGTCTGCAGCCTACATTAACATAGAAACCTGCAAAGTAGGTGGCCTAACGTCGATGTAGGCTCTAGACCTGTTCAGCTTTTTCCTTGTATGAGGTGCGGGTGTGAGCAATACAGACCTTGAGAGACCTTACGCAAGAAAGAAACTAAATAGGTCTGCAGACTACATTAGAACAAGGACTTTCAAAGTGTGTACTCTAACGTCAACGTAGGCTCTAGGGTGTTCGGTATCTTCCTAAGTTGGCGTGGGGTATTTCACTTGCTCTTGCTCAGCTCGCGTGTTTACGCGCTGGTGTCTGCTGGTCCACGCGACACACTCACGCATCCCTCCTGCTCAAATACAGCCAGTCGCCCGCCATTGATCTTGTCCGAATTTCCTTCCGAAGCTGCGAATCCCAACTACATCACTGACTTGGCATCATCATCTAGGCGTTAACCCCAGAATATTCCTTTGCAAACGGTGTCGACAAGCCGTCTGACAAACTCCTCCGCTCACCGCAGCCACGATGACCAACCTCCTTGACTTTCCAATCGAGGTATTCCAGATGATTGTCTGCGAACTAGTCAGCAGCGCGATTGACGAATCTGCACATTCTATTTATAGCTTTCAGATTGAGGATGTCTGGTTGCTGCGAAATGTTTGTCCTACCTTCGCCGCAGAGATCGAGCGCAGCGTCTTCTTCCAGCAGCCAAAAGCGATATATCTCAACAGCCACTTCATCCAGCGCCTTGTCCTTGAGCGTTTGCCCCAGTACGTCATGCAAGTCAAGCGGATACCGGGAAACGTCAATGAAGGCTTCCGTGCAAGACTACAGCGCATGACGAGCTACATCCTGCAAGAGCTTGACATCAAAGATGAGAAGCAACGCGCAGACGCAATCGAGAAATTCTACGTCAGTTTACGCAGAATCGTTATTGAGTCCCGATTGACTCATGCCCTGTGGTGCGATTGCGGTCCCTCGTGCTCTTACGTCACTGAGAGCCAGAGCAATACGGAGCTATCTGTCCAAGATAGGCTTTACACATCTCTCATGGTCGGAGCGCATGATGTTCTTGCTGGTATTCTCCAGGAAGTCAGTGGTGCGCAACATGATCGACTCTTCAGCATACTACCTTTTGGAGTCGCTCGGATTTTAGGTGACACGAAGTCGATTGACGTTATCCTCCGTCATCTGGAAACGCGCCCATCGTTGGAGCGAACGACTCTTACGAGTGACAGTGGGATATTCCCAATACGCAAAACCATCAGCACCCTGCTGGCTAGGGACAGCGGTACGATCGCCCAAGCTTTACTCGAGTTCCACAAGAAGAAGCTACCCTCCCCCTCGGGTCACGTCTACGCCTCCTGGATCTACAGCGCTGTCCATGAGCGTACGACCAACCATCTGCACAATCTAAGGGCCGTCTTGAACATCCACCCTAAGGGTAGCACACAGGTCTGGGGCGAAACGATGATCACCATATGCGCCGGAGGCAGCTCTGAAGATGTCCAGGAAGCCCTCAAGCGCGTTGAGGATGTGGACAAGGGAACAGCGCTGGACGCTCCTATCTTCATCGCTGTTCGATCCGGTCGTGTAGCCGCCGTACAAGGATGCATCCAGGCAGGCGCCAGCGTCGACCTCGCCGTGTGTTCCGACAGCCCAACACTTCACAAGGACACCATCACCCCCCTTGACGTCGCCATGGACCGGAACGATGGTCACGTTGCAGACGTTCTCATCAAGGCCGGTGCAAAAATCCCGCACATATCGCAGTGGCCAGGAACTAGGCGCGTGTACAAGGTGTTGCGAAAGGCCGTCTCGGAACGCACCAACGTCAAGCTGCCGGCTCTGAGGGACTTTCAACATATGAGCCTGGCAGAACGCAGGGACATACAATATTAGTGGACCGACAGCGAGGCCGTGGGTGTGGTTGCAGATTCGGCGTGGCAAGAGTGATGGACTGGAACATATGGAAAACGCACGGCAGGCGTTATGTGGGTGCCGAGAAAGATTTCGGTTGTCGTGTATGCGGAATGGAAGTTGTCGAATACAATAGTGAAACTAGTACTTTTTAAGAATTCTTGTGTATGCCGGGAGTATACCGAGGGGTTGTTCTAATCATGGAGAGTCAAACGTCGTGGTGAGAAGGATTGAAGTTTCGCGAACGCGTCCACCTACCGGGTGTTGACTGAAGTTTAGCGCTCTTGCTCTGGATACCGAGGTATGACATCACCACATGCTTCGACGCGGCTCGGCCCTGCCGGCAACATCCGTGACTGACCCTCTTGGTAACCATCCTCTTTCCACTGTCCTACGTTCCCGCGAACCAAACCACTCTCTCAGACTATCTAGTGTCTGCCCAGCTAGAATGCGCCTTCCAATGGTAGAGCACCTCCCTCGTCATATCCCTGTCAACGGGAGACAGCGAGATCTTCACACCCATGATCCTGACGAAGTCGAGGAACTCTCGAGGAATTGGCATATAGACATGTACCTGATAGGTGGCTATCGCAGCTCAAGCTGAACAGGTCTGAATCACTCAATGGCTGACGCGATTAACGCCAATCTCACGCCTGCCTAGGCTACGGCGTGGCAAAGTGTATGTCAGCTCCAAACAACTCTTTTGTGTCACCCCAGCGCCCTGATGTACCTGTTGCACAGACGTTGGCGCGGAAAAACAGAGCTTTTCTCGACTTCTACGCTATGCCTTTTGCGCTACTTCGACTCCCACTACAGCTCAACCTCAACCTGGCGCGACCATCACCGACCAACCTTGGAAGACTCTCAACTGAGACTTGATTGCACTGTCGATAATTGCTACAACAGTCAACATCATGGCGCTCCTCAACGACCTTCCCAATGAACTTCTGCTCCAGATAACCGAGCATCTCAAGGGCCAATCTCAAACGCTCGCCCGACTCTGCCTAGTCTCCCGCAGATGGAAAGAAGTCGCTACGAGCACTCTTTACACTGGAGTGGCTTTGTATATTAATCCAAAGAAGTTTCATACCTTTGTGCGAACACTGCTTACACATGGTGATCTTACCCGGCATGTCAAGATATTTGAATGTCTTTGGGATACACGGAACGGCGATCTCTGTGCTGCCGAGGAAGATAAGATACAAGATGAACCAAAGCTTGTTGGGAATTGCGCCGCACAAATCATGCAGATGGCCGTCCCGGTCGAGGTAGCGGGACATCTCACTAGTAATCTCGCGCGCGGGCAGCGGTCGGCTTTCGCAGCGATCATATTACACCTGCTACCGAAGCTTGAAAGGCTTTCAATCCGTGTCACAGACCCCATCAACGGATCACGATTCTCTTTCCGTAACGACCTTCTTCGGGTGTTATATGGAATCAGACACGATCTATTCACCCGGACTGATCTGTGTGGTTTACGAGGCGGGCTCCAGCATTTGACACACCTCTGCATTCCCTTTACACATTTCAATCTCCTCCGATTCTTCTACCTCCCAAACTTGAGGGCGTTGAAACTAGATCTCATGAGCAACGGTATCCGCGATCTAGGGTCAGGCTGGTTGAACCATGTCACCACACCGATAGCTTCGAAGAACGGCATTGAAGATCTAACTATCCAGCTCGATTGCTGCGAACTAGAGCCGTCATCAGTTCACTTCGTCACCCCACATATTATACGATGGCTTCACATCGATGGAAGCCTTAACGGTCGACGAAATACACTGAAGCATGTCGACTTTCGTCTCACTTTTGGAAGAGGTTACTACTGTGGAGCTAGGCGATATTTCCAGACCCTGGTCTCGCACCTGGCGGCCGCTTCGACAGAAATTGAGAGCCTGCGCATAGATATCCGCCTAGTCTATTGCGACTGGGAAACATTAGCACGGTACCTTTCGAGTATGAGACCCGTTACTACTCTCTCTGGCTTCGGGAACCTGCGTAACCTTGAGGTGCCACAGGAATTTCTCATAGACAGAAAGTTTCGTAGCAGACCGCATCCTGGAGGTGATCTTCGACATCTATTGCCCTTAGCGATCGAGAGTTTGACTGTCATCTGCCCTGATGGTATGGCCATCGTATGGCTCCACAAACTCTCCCTTGTTCTAAACCACTTCAATGCGCTGCGGGTTCTTGCGCTTGAATGTGTTCCAGGACATGGTCGACTTGCCTCATGGTTCCATAAGCGCCGCGATCCTGTCTTCGACACATTCCGCGATAGAGACATTTGCGTGCGTATTTATGATGCAAAGGCGGGATTCAGGCGTCCTCAGGCGTCCGACACTGTCGACGCGCCCGATCTAAGACATGACACGGAAGACCCTTTCCAAGACTCGATGGACATCTCAAGTCTCTTTGGTGAAGACGTCGGATATGCAGGAATATAAGGGAGGGTTTGGTTCGATGGAGACAATAGTCGCATGCTTGTCGATAGATGCGCTACTAGCAAAAAGGGAATAAGGTCACACGCTTCTAACAGCAGAGATTGTTGACAGGGTTTTCAGGACAGTATCCGCTGAGAGCGATCTGACTGATGTTGTAAGAGGGCGAAACTCACCGTCAATACACGCATGGCTTTCCTTGTAGAACGAAGTACAACAAATAAAGATACCGCTATTAGCTATTTCCAGTTCGTTGAGATCTTTCACGAAACAGATATGTCAGCGTGATGCTAGATTTGGGCACAATGAGATGGTCCAGCGTAGGTGGAGCGGGCCGGGGAGACGACCGCGGGGAAGGTATCGCAGAGTCGGAGGTTCGGCGAATCGACGCGCCGACATCCGAAGCTACCTGCTTCCTCAGTCATGAGCCTCACTGCCTGGCCAGTCGACTCAGTGCGCCATCGCTATCATATATACTTTACCAGACATCGCCACGACCAGAACTTGCATGCGATTGCCCTTTGCTTCGACTCGTATCCGCTCATTTCCTCACCGTCGCCCTTCCGGGCACCGCTATCGATGTCGCCCGCATCACACATAAGCGTACCTTTCGTGGTCACTGATGATGGTAACTACTGTAGCCAGCGTCGTAGTCTTCGACCTTGCAAACGATCGCTTTATGCGGATTCGCCATACTCGATAACAAGCACCGTTATCAGGGACCGCCAAATCATCCAACACAAGTCAGAACGACAAGTTTCACTGGGGACTCCAGGCACATACCGTATTACGGGGTCGCGTCGCACACCGAACGAAGCTCACGGATGCTGGATGTCGTCTCTGTGTAGAGCATAGCCCGGGCGGTAAGGCGGTTGGACCTCTGGAACGATGCGCAGTACGGGTCTGGCGGTAGGCCTGTCTGGCAGAGGGAGACAGAGTCGCAGCGCATTCGCCAGTCGCATCATCTTCACTGACAGCCAAAGAAGCAGTAACACAATAATGCAGATAGCGATCTTCATCACGCGAGATATGAAGCTACACATTACATCCCGGCGCGCAACATGGCGTGAACAAACCCAATACAAAACACGCCACGCATCCATCCGTTCATCCGATCGCCGCAACCCTACGAAACCTTCGAGCTCGCATACGTAGCGAGATTGCGACAGAGCTAGCAACGGCTGCTGGGAATTCGAACACAAGCTATCTGGAACAACGTGGAATGGCTCTCAATGGCCAGGGCACAAGCTACACGACGCATTAGCATCCTCTTGTAGTACACCGTCGGCGTAATCTGTCCTTGCAGATAGGAGTCCGTTAGCCTTCGTAGTCGAAGTGTGTGCGTAGGTTTTCGCCCCAGCGCGATGACCGTGGGTTATCGAGGTCGCACTCCTGTGAACAAACACAGGGAGGGGGACTATGTTGAGGTCAGCCGCAGTCTCATGAGGAGAAACCATCTACCCACAATTGCGCATTAAGAACAGGCTTTATCCTCGCAACCTCTCCGCTGAAGTCCTCTCGGTTACCGTGTGCGAGGTCTGCCCACCTCGTCTCCCATTTGCGCTGGGTACTGTTCTTGACGTGCCCCCAAAATTTCACTCTTGGTACCTTCTTGGGCGTCCCATAGATCTCCAAGATACGTACATAGAGTAATGTGAAGAACCACTCTATCAGGTACTTCTGGCAAGTATCTTTGACCGCATTCTGTCGTTCAATCGCGAGCCTAGAAACCCTGGTATCATACCTGTCTTCGTGTCGTAGCCCTAATCCGGGTATATGAAAGATGAACTCCAGGATCTCCAACTGTGAGTTCTTGGTCAAACATTCTAGGTATCTCGTCTTTGGTTTGCGTTTTGCGGGGCTACCAATTCTTCGCGTACTTTCGTATCCAAGGAGCCGAAACTGGCTAACGATGGGCATTACCAACGTGACCCGACGAAGTGAAACGAGGCTCGAGGCCTGAGATGGCATCGCTTTTGTTTGACAGATGATATCAGTCAGATCAGATATTCTGTTGAACATCGCCGTAGGTATTCGCGCAATCGCATTCTGTAGCGAGTCGCACATTGCTCGACTGACCGACAACAGTCTCCTTACGCCCGCTTCTTCTTCGGACACCAACCCTGGCAGGCTCTTCCAGGGCTCTGTCTCCCCAGTCCAGCGCGGCGGGTCCGGTTTATTGATGCCAAATCTTCTGTGCCATCTAGTCACTGGAGAATCTTGTTTGGCTGGATTATCTTCGCCGACATAAACGTCTATCTCTTTCGATGTCTCGGCTGTCTCCAGATCCAATGACAACGGGTCATCACCGGTAAAGCCACCGGGCTGATCAAGTTCCTGGTGATCAAGTCGATACTCATCGAAGTCTGGTGTCGCAAACGCCCAAGGCCGCCATGTAGTCCCGGACTTGACTCGCGGCCAGATCACTGGACCCATCAAGGCATCAAAAATTCGGTCGCGCAACTCTTGTGGTAGCTGCATCAAGTTGAAGGTCTTCCCGGTGAGTTTCCAGTAAAGGCAAATGCATGCTCGTTTGCGACTGACACCACCGTATCGCTCACTCAGCCATTGCCGGATGGGCTTCCAGTGCCGATGCTTCCCCCATAACATGCGAACCTCCAAGCCAGTGTCGTCTTGGCGGGAAGGCCGGCGAACGTTAAGCGGGTGATATGTGCGTTCTCTAGTTTCATCCACGTCAACAAGTACGAAAGCCTCCGCATTGCTTGGTCGCCTAGTCGCATGCGGGCGCGCAACCTTTGCAATCTCGACATGGTTCGTATTGGAGAAGAAGGCAAAGCTTTTCTTGCGTTCGTCTGTGAAAATGTCCAAGAAATGCTGAAACACCCGTGATTGGCATGTCGAAGCATCCTGTCATCGAGGGTGAGTTATGCGGCCAACCACTCGGACCTTCAGACGTACCCAGATGAACTGTGACCTCATGGCAGCTTCACCGATACCGCTTGTATCATCTTGTAGCTCTCTGTGAGGTTCTTTCCAGACGAGATCGACGGGGGTGAACCAACCGCAGCATGGCATTCGGCGGCGGCACGTCCAGCATCCATCACACGTCGGCTTTTCCATCGTTGAAGAAGTTGCGCTTTACCGGCAATCTACTTGATCTTTTCGGTGGGTAGAACTCAATGAACAGCGATTACGCAAATCAAAGGAGCGGGGAAATCTAGAAAGGGCCGACTGTGATCGGGATGGGTGATGCGGCCGGGTGCGGAAATTGCGAACGTGGCGCCCTAATCTTAGTACCAGCCGCCGTGTGTCTAGTGACATCCGAAGGAGTCCAGAAAAATCTCACTATGCGGGTGTGGTATGAGGGTATGGACTTTGACAGAGACTGAACAGGGAGCTGGGCGTATGTATTTAATAAATGTGTGGAATTTGTATGCTTCTATCGATCCCATACAAGGATCCGGGTGGCTTGATGCTATCACACTGTGCTGACTACGTTCTTTCCTCCCATACCAACGGCACACTTACATACCCCGCTGTGATCTACTGTAATCCCGCAAAACCAAAAGGTCTGTCCTCCAGCTGAAGTCGCAGTCACATCACCGAGTTACCCTGTTGTGACACACTCTACGCTGAGCTAAGCGTCGTCCTTCTCCTGAACGTAATCCGATAGTATCGCATCCCATGTTTGCGGCGCAGGCGGGACTACAGCTTGAAGGCGCATCGACTGCCACGCTTCATTCCAGTCAGCTGTGTCCGAACAGCCAGGGTTCGCTTCGAAGAGCTCCTCGATGTCCCAACCCTGAGCACTGCAGTTGTTGAACTGAATCGATCCATTACCGGCAATAACGTCTCGCATGAGACCAGGAAACCCTTCGAATTGATAGCACGAATGTCTCTTGTACCCCGTTCCCGATCGATCGGGAACAGGTGGTTGTTCTTGTCGGTCCGATTTGGTCTGCAGCGCATCTTGCCACGCCGCATCCTCGATGACAATATCGAGAATTGGCTGCATCAATTCTGGCTCGCCTTTGAAGACAAGAGTGAAGCATTTGGCGGGCATGCCGGCTGGGTGTAACGCCATAGCTTCCATCAGCCAGGGGGCGATGGTTTTGGTCAGTTCCCAGGCATACATGGTGCGCATTGGCCCAACTCCCTGACCAGGATCGGAGCGGTGCTCTTCAAAGCGAGCCGACTGCAACGAAGTCAAGACACCGCCCCAGAGGTCTGCATAGCGGATGATCTTGAGCTTGGGGTTCTCGATGGCGAAAGGTATCAGGGCCCGCGCATGACATTCTGGGTATGAAATAGCAGCGTGTGTTTCATGGAGATCGACGGAGCGAATATGGACGCGATGCTGCTGTTGTAGCTTCGAGAGAAAATCCGCCGCTTGTGAAGCAGCAGAGATGTAATATCTAGTGCGATCCCGCACTCGCTCGCGCCAAGGGTTGTGCGGTCCGATTGGCGACTGGTCCTCAACGATCTTGGACTCTTGCTTGTTCGGGAGGCGCCAAGCGATGGGATGTAACTGATAAAGGCTTGCTACATTCTGCTCATGACGGAATCGAAAGCCCTGTCTCTCGAGGACCTTGCGAGTCAGTTCGCCTACAGCGGGGGTTTGGGCGACTAGGTTGAGTAGCTCATCGATGGTGTCCCGGTGGAAGGAGGGCGCTTGCCCCCAATCGCCGGATTTGCCTAGTTGCTCGAAGCCTTGGCAGATTCTCCTCTTCGTGCTCATCAAGTGTCGCAGTAAGGCTTCGCTCTTTGGAAATCGGTCGATTACTCGCTGAGCAATGTCGTTGCTGATATATTGGCGGACCCAAGGTAACACGAGACGTTTGGCTGTGTACAGATCTTCCAGGAGGTAGCCGTGGTGTCTGGCTCGTGAGCTGCCTCGGTCGGTAGGTAGGGGGGTCGTTGAGAAGTGGACCGTGTTGTTCACAAAATGAACGCCTCGCATCTCAGAAGCAATGCCCTTGCATACATGCATTAGCGACAGGGTATCGATGCGCTCGTTGGTTGACGTGCGCAGTTTTCCTGAGGAAAGGTCGTAATGGTAGCCATCTTCTTCCGTTACATAGTAGATGTATATTGCGTCGCGTAGTTCACGAGGCAGACCGGTTAAGGACATTTTTGAGGTTGTGTGTTTCGCGGCAACAAGTGTTCGTGTTCTGCAAGGTAGCCTGCTTGCTTGTGATAAAGAACGGGGGGAAAAGGCTGGATGTGCGCTCCATGTGTGTTTCACGGATCAAGGAAGCAAAGATAGGATATGAGATGTCGGGTTCGTCAGGGACCCCGCTTTGATACGACATCAGGCGCCAGCCATCAGGCAACCGTGTCGTCACGGGTTTTGTTCGTGGTCGGGACGCATTCGCTACCACCGAGAACCACACACAGATTGGGGAGGCCCAAGGAACGCGGAACCGAAAGCCGCAAAGAGAGGAAGTATGTACGTGGTATCGTTTTCTTTATTCAGAGTCCTAAGCTTTCACTCTTACGAGTATGCTGCTATCCTGTTTTCATCCCGTGTGTTTATAGCCGTAATTAGTACTTTACCGTGTACTTTTGATCGATAAATATGCAGTAAGAAAGATCAGTTTTTTTGTGTATAGAAACGCTAAGGCGGCACGTTAGTCACAACCAAGGCAATGGCGGAAGCCACAACTTACGTGGCGATTCGAACTCCCGATCTGGCCCAAAAGGGCTGCAAGTCGATAACTCCTTTCACGGTAAGCTGTTGCTCGGGGCTGAGAGTAGTTCTGCGGCTTACCCTCGATACGTAATTCCATGGGCTCCGGCATTGGGCGGGAAGCTTAGAGCAACGTTAGCAGGAAGATTTGAATGTTTTGGAAGCATTGACTCACACCCGGGAGAGTCTTGCGGCCCGTCCCGTTCAGTCCCGAATTCTTCTGAGCTAAAACAGTTAGCAGAGCGATAAACCAGTCAAGTATGCAGCATACTCAGCGGTTACCTACTGCCTTGCGCGGTCGATACGTAATCGTCTGGAGCTTCAAGACCCCCAGGGCTGATCTGATTAGCCAGAGAATATCATGATGATGAGGCGTCGAAGCTTACTGTTGAGCGAGAGCGATTGCGCAATGAACCGTCGCGCAATTGTTGTTGGGTCAGGGCAACGCTGCGGGCGACTAACGGTGTTAGGATTGATGGGAATGCGCGAGCTTCGGTGCTTACTGGTGTGATTGGCGTTGTGCCCGCGAAAGCGAGGGGCAACTTAATTTGTTAGTAAGATTTGCTGTGCGCTGCGGTGACTTCGGCCTTACGAGAGGGGAGAGTGTGGTAGGCCAGGGACTCAGGGTCGCGATGATGTATTGTTGAATGGCTGGTCCTGATCAACCATGTTAGTGAGGAATCATCAGGTGTATGGTGTACACCGTAACACACGGAATGACTTACCAAAGTGCAGAGCGAGAGTACGCAATGCTTCACCAAGCGAACACTGCAGTAAAGTTAGCTGACTATTGAAAAAGTACACATGCATCGGAACTACTGGGATGCACTTACAGTGTCCACAGGGAGAGGCATCTGCATATCTTGCGCTGCTTTCTAGAGAGCGTTAGTCATGGGCTGTAAGTTCCAGGCGTTCCGAGAATCTGTCTTACCCAGATCTGCTGCGACCCCATACAACCCGCGACACCCATCATAACCACCTGCACCTTCGACAAACCGAGAGAATGGACATGACTGTAGAGGTTTAGCATGGCTCAATATCAAAGATCAAAGCTGTAACTTACACAACCGCCGCGATCGATGCCGGGAGACGCTTCCCTCGACTCTCTGCGTTTTGTCAGCATCAACATCGCAAAAGGATGGACAAAGAATATTAATACCTTCGAGGAGTTCGTCCAGGACGACGTGCGTACACTGCGCACCTGGTTAACCGACCTCTTCCTCAACCTTGGCCTCTACAACAAGCCTATGCCTGCCCTCTGCCACCTTGGCACTGCAGACAAGCCTCTTGGGTTGATTCCTAGGTAGCCTTTTAGTTGATGCATCACGAATAAGAAAGGGAAGTGACGCATACTGGGCTGCATTGCTGGCAACAAACTGCTGCGCATGCCGTTGATCGTCAAGGAGCGAGCTGGTGATCTGGTTCCTGGCAGTCAAGAGTATATGGAACTGGTGGACCTTCGGGTCGAAAAGAAGAACCTTTGAATGTAAACAAGAAGCCAGGACAGGAAGTGTGTAGAGTTCGGTTACCTGTACGCCATGCTCGGGAAGGTTGACGCCCACGGCAAGCCCTGGGGTCTTCTGGAGTGGGAGAAAGACTTCCTCGAGCGTGCGGCTGACCTGCAAGCGAAACTGTTAGAACGATAAAGTGATAATCTGATAGGGTTCACCCACGACAGTCGCGCCGGCATGTGGCTCAGGCAGTTCAGCTGCCTCCCTGCTCTCCTCAGGATAATCTAGAAGATATAAGAACAAGAACAGCCGTTGTCAATGATATATGCTTACGTAGCTTCCTCCGCAAGCTATCTCGTATACGAATCGAATCGACCGAGCGAAGCGCGCGTCTTCAACGATCTGGACAAGTATAAGCATCTGGGTTCAGGGGTACCCTCGAAAAGAGTGAAGCTCGGGTATGCTTACACGTAGCCGGGATTGACAAGGCGGGAGGACACATCGATAGGCGGGCGGGCTATTGGGTGTGTTAATAGATGTATCGACGGATGGCGTTCGCGGCTGCGGACTGGAGCTGGTAAAACATACGATCGAGAGTTGGGCGTGGGTATCGGGCTTGGATGGGCGAGGTGACCGGCAGGGCGTGTCGGGCTAAGGGCGTGTTAAGACCGGTGTGATGTACCATCCTTCGAACGTGACACTTACAAGAAAGAGGAAGAGATGAGTTGTTGTTGTTGTTGTTGTTAGTATTCACGTAGTCATGCCCGTATCGCAATGACGCAATGGATCGTAAACCTTTGACACTGATCAGCATGAGCAACAATGGCTTTGAGAAGCAACTTACAAATGCCGAGTGCCGAGTGCCAAGCGCGACAAGTGAATGCCACCGCTCCCGTACCTGTCACCACAACCTTAGTATACATTATGCCCATACAATTCTCATCTTGAGACTGGGTACTTACACCTGAAACCGTAGTGATAAAGCCGTAGTAGAATTGGCGGTGCTGATGAGCACCGCGTTATTGCTCCTTCGTAGAGGAGCTTGAATCGAATGGGGCGTCGGGCATGTGCTTGTTGGTCCAATTGAACTGTTCAAGTCCCCAAGTTTTTATTGCCCATTTGGTGGCGACGCCGGCGTCGGTGGTGGTGAGTGTTTTGAGGTGAAGGTGGCCCAGCCTGTCCTTCAATGTTTGTCGTTCTTTGTTGTAATGTGGGCAGCGTAGGTACCGGTGGGCGTAATCATCGGCTTCACGGCCGCAGAGACACATGACGCCGGTCTCTATAGGTACATGAAGACAATTTACTAAATGTTCGTTGAGACCATTGTGGCCCGTTCGGATTTGCGTGAGCAGGCTGCTCCGAGCCTTTGGCAGGTTGTCGTGGTACTGTAGAGACTTGGGGCCCCAGCCCTCCTCGTGGACCGGATGCATCTTCTTTCCGTCCATGCGACGCTGATGGCAGTATCTGGTCCATAGGTCGGTGCTCTCGAGCTTGGCCTGCCGCGCAAAGTACCTAGTGATGTCTTTGGAGCGGGCCTTGGGTGATTTGGCCCAGCGCTCTTCAACATCACCAATGTTGCCTTGCACCCAGTCTTTGACTTTCTGCTCGTCGGCAATGGACCTCCTATGTAGCTCGGAATAAGGGTGTAGCTGGTTCCTGCCTTGGGCGAGTCTCTGGAGGGATGGATGATGAACCGTGCGTGCTCGATAGGCGGATGATGAACGACGTAAGTAGACGCGGATGCTGTCAACATACAAGTCTTTCTCGAGGGGTTGATGGGGTGTGCACTTGTAAGCGCCCGCGACAAACCGAAGACATTGCGCTTGTAGCTTTTCCAATCGCTCTATCTCAGGCTCGTGAATGGCAAATTTGTCGACAGGCCGCTTGCCGCCTTTCGTGGAGTCGTGGAACCAAAGTCCGGATGAATAGGAAACCATGGAGCGCAGGGTTGTGAGATAGAGTTTTCGCATGTGCTTCACACTGGGGCCCTTGACTGAACTGGATATGGGTCTGAGGCTGTTTAGTCTCTTTGTAACTTTCTCCACGATCTGACAATGAAGTTAGCTCGATTGACATGTCAAAGTAGGTGAGGATGGATGGGCTTCGAGTGCGACTTTACTTACGTGATCCACATGTTTCTTCCAGCTCAATCTCTGGTCTACCCAAACCCCCAGTATGCGCATCTCTGAAAGTACCCTATCTTTCTTCAATTCTGGAATATTTGGTATACACAGAGATGGCACATAGTCTTCGTTGTCGGGATTTTCTCCAGGGCTAGGATGCAGTATCCGCTTCTTGGATGTAGAGTTCGCCTTCTTCTTAATGGGCTCTGCACGCTTCTTCTTTCTCTCTGCATTAGCTCTTGATCGGGCCCCATATACCTGGAGCCAGTCCTGTGTTGTGACGTCTGGAATGCTCGGCTCGGTCTGGATGTCGGGAACATCTATCCAATCGGAAGAGTCTGCTTCGCCCGAATGAGGTGAGGATACTGAATTGGCCTCAAGGCGACCGTTACGACGGGGATTATGACTGCCAGGGGGTAGAAGATGCATCACCGAATATTTGCTGGGTGCAAATTGAAACCCGAACTCCGTAGCCGTCTCGGCTAGTTCCTCGTGAACCTGGGTAAGGCGTACGCAATTCTCTTCCCAGCTCTCCGTGACACCCACGAGGATTGTGTCATCGGCGAATCCAGATCCGCTGATAAGTTGTACGTCTTCACACTTCTCCAGAAGAGGCGCAGCGACGATGTTGAACAGAACTGAAGCTAGTGCGCTGCCTTGTGGGACACCAGTACCAACGTAGAAGGGCTTGTTGACATCGGTACGATATCCAGGGATTGCCAAGGTGGCTTGACGGTCGGTCAAGTAGGCATGAATGAAATGCACGATCCAGGTTGGAAACTTCAGCTCTGCTAGCCTCTGTAGAAGCTTGTCGTGACGAACATGATCAAAGGCCCCGCTGATGTCGAGCGAGAGAATCGTCGCACGCTTGCGCATTGGCGCTCTAGAAGTATGGTTGGTGAAAGCTTCGTAGATAGGATTGAGAACGGATTGTAGAGCCATGGTCGTTGACCTGCCGGAAAAGGCGTACTGGTTCCAAGGTAAAAGCTGATGCTGAGCGAGAAGATTCGTCAAGCGCTTGGTGAGTAGCTTTTCGATTAGCTTGCCGAGGTGAGATAGAAGAGCAACTGGACGCCAGCTCTTGACTACATTGTACGCGTCTTTGTCGTCCTTTGGCAGCATGACAATATTCGCTCTCTTGAAGACTTGCGACCAACAAGAAAGTCGGAAGCACGCGCTGAAAGCATGAGCGAGGTATGGTTCAATGATACCTGATGTCATCTTGAACAGCTCGTTGCATACTTCATCCCAGCCGGGGCTCTTTCTGCGCTTACATTCCTTGATGACTTCCGCAACCTCCTCAACTGTAACTTCCTGGGAGCATTCTAGCTGCTCGGAGGGATCGCATAGTTCCGGCATTGGAATTGGAAGAGGGGGCGTATCGCTAGTACCTTGGAGGATGTGTTGTCGCAGACAATTGGCTTTGGCAGCCCCTTCTTGATGAACGATGTTCGAGTCTTGAGGATCCTTCAATGGTGGCATGTGTCGTAATCTGACTGGTAAATCCAGACGCTTGGTGATCTTGTAAAGTCTGGAAAGTTGCCGATCAGTTGTGGCTCGACTAACGAATCTGCGCCAGCTCTTCTGCTTTTCTGTCTTCAACAGCTTGTCTTTCTTTCGCTTTGCAGAATTCATTGCCTTCTTGTGTTCAGGGTCGCGTGTTCGGTCATACAGGTATCTAAGCCTTCTCTCCTCTGCACGAGCCTTCTTAACGGACGGTGTCATTGCTGGATTTGCCCGCGGCGATGGTGGGCCTGCCTTTGGTACGAACTTTTCTCTCGCGTCCCGGAATATTTGGAGTATGTTGTCGATATACTCTGATACTGATTGCTCGTTGAGAAGATCGGGCTTGTCGAGTTGCTTCAGATGCTGCGCAACGAATTTGCGTAAACCCTTCGTGTCCGCTCGATGATAGAGGTATCTGATGGGGAATTCTCGGGTAGGCTCGATGATGAGCGTGAACTCCACAGGTTTGTGATCAGTACCAAATTCATCAATGTCGGTAACGGTTCTCCAATCTTGCACGAGGCTTATAACTCCTGGGCTGACGAATGTGAGATCCAACGTTGACTGGTACTGTCCAGCTATGCCGGGGTCCATATCCTGGGTACGCGTATAGGTGACTGTACCTGGAATCGTCACCAGGCGGAATTCATTCTCCTGGAGCACATCCGCCAGGGCTGCCCCAGGGCGTGTCTGACTCCGATTAGATCCACTCCACCATGGATGATGCAGATTGAAGTCGCCCAGGAATATATCTTCTCCGTCCATCTGCTTCATACAGTCTACCACTCCCCGGAAGTCTTCAGGGCTTCTGAATCTCAATTGCCATGGATCCTTGAGGTACTCGTTGTAGAAGTTGTGAATGTTGTAGATGCCGCTGCTAGTCCGAAGAACAAGGGTCGCCAAGCATGAGTTGTGGTAGACAAACGTGTAGCTGTCTACCGCTATGTCTCGATGAACGTAGAAGCTTACTCGCGCCTGCTTTGGTGGCTTCCGCGGGTTCTTTGGCTCTTGTCCATATGTATGGTACCAGACATGATAAGGCGAACATTTGACCCATGGAGTTTGGATGGGGGCGTCTTGGACTGCGATTATGTCCCATTGCTGGCTTCCTGTCAGAATACTTCTGAGCCTGGCTGTGCCCCCATTACTGCGGCCCTGGATGACACTGTCGGTTTGAACTTGGTCCTCAACGACTCCTGTAGTAAATGCGCCCTTGACATTGACTTGGAGAATGCGTAACGAACCAAGCTTTTCGTCAAGCCAAGAAGAGCTGGATCTCACAGATCCAGTAACCCCTCTGGCTTGTTGCATTGAAGTGCCTGGGGTGCCCTTCATAAGCGCGAGGACGTATCAGGCGGTCCAGGCTCCCCGTCTTGGAAAACTTGTGATTGTTGGGTTGAGTTCGTTTGATCCGTTTCTACAGTCGGTGGCAGGATGGACTGGGAATTTGAAAGTGCGGCAGTGGCTATGCGTTTCCGAGTGAGACGCTTGTTTATTCGATTCTGCTTTTGAAACGTCGTCTGAACTGATAGGCACGCTTCTCGAAAGTTTTTGGGATCAATTTGGGCCCCTCGTTTCTTGGCGTCAAGTTCGAACATCCGTAGTTTTTTATCATGCTCCTCCCGCCTGTGCGCAGCCAACAGCTCGTCGGGCTGGGGTGGCAGATTCGCGGACGGATGGCTGAACGATGCTGTCTGAGATTTAGATCTACCAAGCCTCGGTTCTTTGGTGCTAGTAGGTCTCGTCGGATGAGTCGGTGTGGTAGTTTCAAAGAAGGGCCTCGTAGAGACTGAATCGCCACTGGTACTGGCGGCCTGCGGTGGCAGTGCCTTTCTTGACGGTACATCTAGACCAGCTTCCACGATCATAGATTTCGGATCAACGCCAGTAGTACTAGCAACGTTCACAGGTTCAGGTGGGGTCTGAGGACTTGATGCGGCGGATGAAGAGCTTAAATCATCGGCCGCTGCGGGCTGCCGTGATATGGTTTCTGCACCTGGATGTCCCTGCACACGGAGCGAGGTCGAAGGATCTGAAACGTGACCCAGGCCGGGGATGGCACAAGCCATATGTTGTGAGGCTGCTTGGTCGAATGCTTCGGGCAGAGGTGGTGACCCGACATGGTGGACTGGCAAAGAAGTCGAGTTTCCATGAGGTACGGGCGTTTCGTTTGGTGGTAAGGTGATTTCCATGTCGACTGGTAGTTCTGACGACACGTTGGTTCGTTGCTCGGTGGTAAGGCGTTGCTGTGAACCAGGCTTGGTCACAGGAGTGCTCGGCATCGATGCTGGAGAAACGGTTTGCGACGCAACAGCACTGTGGCCCTGGTCTCTGGGGTGTTCCGGCGTCTCCATCGTATGCGGACGTGCACGCTTTCGGCTCAGCGAATCGTTGTTCGCCATGTTAGACGAAATAGAGCCATCGTTGTGGCCGTGGGAAGGAGGACCAGATGTGACCTCGCTCGATAGGGGGGCAGTTATTGAAGTAGACACCGCCGGGAGAGTACTACTCATGTCGGGAGTGTGTTCGTCTTCCTCACTTTCCTCTTCTGGCCACCAACAAGCTTCATCTCGAAAGATGAACATAGCCTTTCGCGCCTTCACAACTATAGGGTGAACACAAACGGAAGAGAAGGCTACGTGCTTCAGTCGGCATATGGGACATTGTTGAAATGTACTCCTACAGAGTTTCGACTTGTGTCCAGAGTGACCACATTTTCCACATGACGGTTGCTGCTTTTTACAATGTCGACTCTCGTGATTGATGTACCCGCACCAGTGGCAGTACTGTAAGTCCATACGAGGGTCGTAATACCTATGGTTGTTAGTAAGTCCAGAATGGTGTCTGACGAACACCAACTTACTGGCATTCTGGCTGGGTAAAGTCCATCTTGATGTAACCTTGTTTACGCAGCTTCTGAGCAGACCGTAGACAAGAAAAGCTCAGCACTAACTTCTTCCACGTCCAGCGAGCGGACCCAATGTGTATGCCGTTCTCGGCGCTGATGAGCGCAAGATACTCGTCAGAGATGGGCGTGTATGGTTCGAGGCCGGGTGGATCCTTGACCCAGATGAAATACCTATCGGATATGATATGGGTCCCCATATTGAAGCCACGTGATTGGAGGGGGTCTTGCCAGTTCCGCAGGCATTTGTCCGCAGTGTCGTTGTTCGTGTAGACATGGAGCACTTTTCCCTTGACTTGGGCGGCAGTAATACAAGACCAAGGATACGCGGCTCCGTCTTTCAGAAACCCTACGATTTCGGCGGGAGTCTTCTTACTGTAGATCCCGATATCCGTGTCGCAGAGCGAGATCTTGACGTGAGGGCGCGGTGGGGGGCGATTGGTGCCTTTGGGCTTGGCTTGTTGGGAAGAGATCTCGAGAAGGCGTTTGATTCCCTGTATGTCGGCCTGCAAGCCTTGGTTGACAAGATGCTGTTCATTGGATGGAGGTGCAGCTTGATTCTGTGGGGAGGCCTGAGTTGATGGTGGAAGTGAATGAGAACTTTGCGTTGCTAGTCGACTGAAGGCCTCGGCCAATATACTGGCAAGCGAGGCGTTCGTGAGACCATGAGAGGTTTCGTTATGGCTGAGTCCAGACATGACGAGTGATAGCGGATATCAAGGGCGGAAGCAAGAGAGAAAATGATGTGAAATGAGTAGTGGCGTGTAGACAGATACGAAAGCTGGTTACTCTTGAATGACTTTGATTGTAATTAGCTACGATACGAAGATGCTTTGAACCCTTCTTATAGAAACTCTCAGATGAACGCCTTCAGCGCAATCCGTATAGAGGACTGCTTGCGTCTCGCATCACCCAACCTCTCTGGCACGGACCCAAAACCTACGACCAGCCTCGCTCGGTGGCTCGGCTGTGCCCAGCGCGTACTCTTGTGAGCGCGTACTACTCCCGACAAGCGAAAGCGCATGTAGTGAACATAGCGCGGGAGTGTAACGAAGGCGGAATGCGTAAATCCGCGGTGTTGGAACATAGTCGATCCGGGCCGTCTGCTAGGGCGTTGATGCCGTTCGTCAGGATTTGCGGTGGTTGGAATGTCAGAAAGTAGTTGCCTAGGCCAGACAAAGTCGGTCATTGCAACGGCACCTAGCCCTGAAGGAGACCCTCTATGATGCCGACGCTAACGCCGAAACAGACTAGCCTTGCTCCACCAACCAGCTACCTCCGCGTCGAGCCTGGTGAATTTGCCGACGCTATACGCACGTCAATCACCTCATCTCTGAACTTGGCTTTGCTCATTGCTTGCAATACCACACAAGATAGGCTGGCTATGCACCTAGTGCCTGTTGTTTTGAGAACCAATGCTTCTGTCGAGCCAAACTTCCATTCTCGCGCTCACTCGACGGCAGCCATGAATAGTCTGAGCACGAGAAAAAACCGCGGATTCCAATCTGAAACCTTGTCAAGGATACAAGTCGCGGCACCTTGTATCTAATCCATTCTCAGCGGAGCGGCTGTCATTGGCACGAGCTAATCGTGTCGATCTAGGAGCAGGCGCCGTCTCGGCGAAATATTCCAGCACGCGTTTCATCATATCGATTGCATACGTATATCTTCCAGCCATCTTCAATAAAGAGTGGCTGGGTGATTGCACTGTTTGTAGCTCTGTTTCTAGATCCCGCGAGCAGGTGCCGCGCCCTCTCTGTCCAAGGCTGGTCTACAGATATTCCGATCGTTCATATTCGTCATCGAATAGGGCCGTCAACGTCCGAGAAGCACTGCTACTTGGCCCAGCACTCAAAGCCATCCCCACATCATGAGCGATAATTTTCCAATCGCTCGTCCACCATCGGTCAAGGGTACAGAAGGCTGCTCTGATGCGTCGCCGGCCTTTGACCTTCCGACAGCATCACAGCGAACCGCCCTTGATGTTCTCCACTCAAATTTTACATCTTTGTCGTCATCTATCGGATGTTTCCGATCGATGTTTGCAGTTGCTTCAAGAGGTGGGTCGTGTAACTTTGTACGGTCGGTGAGACAGTGGACCTTGTCTTTGGAGAGCTTTCGTCCACCTGAACGCTAAACTTATGCAACGTAGCATGATCAGTACTCTTGACTTCTCTTAATTGAAACGTAAATACTTCGCCATAGCTTCCAATCTGTTCGCCTGTGAATGCGTGCTTTACTCAGATTGCGCTGCCCGAAGCAACGAGACTGGAAGTGGCACTACCAAGCGCAGACTTTGTGACTGTGGTACATGATTTACTCTTCTAAACCGATACGTGCGACATCAAGAACCGCTATTTTCATCACACGTGTCTATCAACCTGTGTACAACGTTTTCCCAACACGACCCCCAGCTACTCATGCAATAGTTTAGGGTAGGTGATGGTTTCAGAAGTAGATGAGCATTTTTCGTCCATCTCGGCCTCAAGTTGACTACATTAGCTTCGGTTGATGTGCTCCGAGTCCTATAAGCTATGATATTCGGTGGCGGGAAAGGAGTACAAAGAGTGAGGGGATGGAGCTTAATTGGGGCCTTTCTTCTCAGTGACACCAGAAGCGGCGAGCGACGGATATCGACTCCTCTGTAATTGACAGCATAATTGCAATCCTGATGCCGGGCTTGACAATTATTCCGCATGAGACGGTCGATGTGCCGTGGAAAGCTTTGGTAAACCTTGTGAGCAGGAAGTGATCACCGAAACAGACTTCCACAGCTCTTCATACGCTGATATTGTACAACGATATCATAGCACGCCAAGAATGCACTTGATGTGAGTCGTAGCCGTACAGCTACGGTGTTGTCGCGCGACCGCAATGAGGTCAGATTGCTGGCAAACATCCCTCTCATGTATTGCGTTATAGACTTAGTGCCTATCAGTCCGCCTTTATGAGGCCCTCCAAAGAGTGAGGTCGCACGAAATCGAGTCGACCGAAGTTATCACCACAGCAAAGTGCCTACATACCTAGATATCTACCGGTGAACATAAATCAACACGCGATGAGCGCTTTCTTTACGCGACTGATGATATGTCGAAGCGCCGATGTCAACGGGCTTATGAAAGCTGAGCTGCACTCCAGGATGGCGATCACGCTCGCCGGATAGTACTATACGTCAGCCTGGAGGGGGAAGACCTTTCAAATCGATCGTGCCATCCTTCGCTGATCTTGTCGATGTCATAGAGTCAACGTATCGATTGCCTCCAAAAAGATGATGAGACAGTTCTTCGCTGTGGCATTGTGTGGTGAAAGTAGACCGGGCCAAAGGCGCATAGAAATGGATGGTTGACCGTGATGATGACGTCATTGCGGGACACCTACGAACCCCGACCCCGCGCCGAAGCCCCCGCGATGCAGAGCTCGAGGTTCCTGCGCTTCTGTTTCTATCTACGGACGACCTCTACGAATATGACTTGGACTGACACACCTAGATGCGCATAGTGTCTTGATCGCTCTCAATCATGCCTGCATGGGCACCCACCGCCCGAGCGATCCGGTTAGCAACGAAGTCTACATAGCCTGCGTCCTCCCTCGGTGCTCTATCGAATGTACCGTCGCATGCGCCGTCGGATCCACCGTCGCACTGCCCACCGTCGCACTGCCCACCGTCGCACTGCTCACCGTCGCATTGCCCACCACCGCATTTCCACCGTAGTAGCCTCGATCGCTTCTGTCATACACCTGCCACTGCGTTCAAGGGCATGCCGCAGCTCAGCTACGTACCCTCAGCGAGCCACGCACACGATGGCGCATAAGCATACGAATGCGATCGCAACAGGACGTACAATTATACGTGCCTGAGAATACACACACCCAGAAGCCCATGTCATGGTACCGGTGGCATCTTCAGATACCAATACTGAGTCCAAGGCGATCACAACTTCTACTGGGGATACAGGATCCGTCGGTGATGTTGCATGAGAACTATCGCTTCTAGGGGAGCGCTGGACACCGCCGGAAGCAGCAGAGGAAACACAAGGCATTCACATGGTGTACTATACTACTGAGGGCTCTCCGTATGTATGGGGACTTTGTGGTCAGACATATACGTGGAGCTCCGCTCCATATATTTGTAACTTTGCAGCGGTGAAGTCGGCGAACGGGTTACAATGAAGGCTCTCGCGACTTTCCAGCTAGGTATGCAAGCGTTCTCTGATAGTCTTGCATTGCAGCTACGAGTAGACCTGCTGATCATGGCTAAGATAGTAATCAGTTACCTCCGCGTTCGTCTATTTGACGGGAAAGACTAAGTGTTAACGGTGGGGTTTGCCTCTATTTACCAACGTTTTCATCATTAGATCTTGCAATGAAGATCTGTGTAGACATTGTATGGCAGACTAGAACTGGAAACTTCTACACAACAAGGCTGTCAGTCAAAGGCGTTGCCGCAAATACGGGTGCCTACCTAGGCATCAGCTTCTGCGACAACGACTTCCTCGACGGTCACTCTTTACAAGTGCCGAGTCATACCAGCCACTTCATAAAGCAAGAGTAGCAATGCGTCGAGTGTTGTAGAGCAGCAAAGCGATACAGGAGCACCTACTGATACCACTTGACGAGGCTGTGACGAAGGAACCGAAGTGCACTAGCTAGCGTTGCCGATAATCACGTCAATGAAGCCATCGCATCTTCAGGACAAACTTCCACCTCATTAGCAATGGGCTTACTGTCCTTGCTATAATATACACGAGAGTTAGTGATACCATGGTATGGTGTTTCGACGGATCGCATGTGCGGCTGGGACCTCGGTACCTTGCCCATTTGGACTAGTTCCTTCCTGAATTCTAACAAGGGCACCCATGGAATTCTCGAACACGGCCAGTAGCTTTGTCTCTCACAGAGTCCTCATTGAAAGAAGTGCGCTACACCTGGGCGTCACCGAAAGTGAAGTGTTTCTATGTAGGCGCCTCGGTGTCTTGGGTCAGACACTTCACAAGAGCGACAAGACTGGGTTTCCTGCCCTTCACCCACATACAAGACAACGCACACTACCGCGCCGATCATGACTAAACTCTTATCTTCAGCCCCTTATTACTGGACGTACAACATCAGAATTATAGCCCTTTGTTGGAGTTTGCAAAGACAGGTGGATTCTTCAAGTGCGGAATGCAAGTTGTTCGCGACCAGGTTGCTCCTGAATTCAACGACCTTCACAGCGGCACCCAACTTTGTTCCCAGCCCCCAGAGGTAGTTCGACACACACCTCGGCAGATCTAGGAAGTCCCAGCCTCGTCGTTCTGAGAACGCTAGATCTCAGCCGCGGCCATTAGTTCCTCGGGCTAATTATGGCGCTTTGCTTAGGTGAAAGCGGTAGCCGGGCCTTCTGGGCTCTCTGCTGACTCTTCACGGCATTAACCATACACCCAAACCTAATATTAGCCGATTTCAGCTTTACTCGATGTTTCCGACTCTATCATTGCGACATAATTCCTCTACGATGTGTTCCACGTTCTCTCTACCATAACGCGACACATTTTCGCCCGACCACGTAGCGGCTCTTCACGGTTTGTTTGTAAACACAAGTTTGTCAGAGTTTTCTCCTCCGCTACCCATGGAGACTTCTAATACCTCTACCTTCACTAGCGTAATCCGGAATCAGCTTCCGTCAATAACGGCCGATTACCGTTTCATCAGGATCACCACCCAACCACCCCAACATGCGGTCTTGTGGCTCCAATACCAGCCACTTGACAGCACTATATCGTTTCGTGGAGTCTATAAGACGGCTTTGCATGTAGAAGATTCGGTAGCAATAAAGAAATTGTATTCAAAGCACAAATTCACAACAGCCGAATTTACTTCCACTCCATTTTATCTGTCCGCTCTCTTGTTCTATTTTTAAGTTTCTGCACTCAATATGCGCGATCCATTTAATAGAGAACTATACAAACTCAACATGCGCGATCCAGCTAAGAGAGAACTATACAACAACAGACTGATATCAACAGAACGCGGCTGGATACTACTGAGCGAGTATCTTGAGGAAAGGAATCGCGAGCCCATAGTGACACCGAGTCCGGAGACAACATACACACCGATTACGGAGCGTTCAACGACACCACAGCCAAGACTACCTGTTCGCTGGCGCGACAGCCCTTTCGCGAAGTTGTCGAAGGAAGTACGACGAAACATCTATCGTCACTACTACGAAATTCCAGGCGGCTACAAAGTCAATCCCCATACCAATCAATTGAGCATGCCTGATGGTGGGCCTATCGATCTCTCGCTCAGGTCCGTGTGCAGGGCGTTCAATGAAGAGACAAAGGGTCTCGAATTTGAGTGGAACACTATTCACTCCGCCACCACCGAATTGTCATCAGAGTTGTCTCTGATGGCTGCGTGTTGCGACAACGATGTCAGAATTGCTCTCAATCTGGGACAGAAAGTTCTACTCGAAGCGCGCTCACTTATCCACCACGTCCAAGCCGGTATACTCCACGAATTTCCAGCATACTGGCATGTCTTGGAAGACTTGCAGCGATATGGTCGACACAGGCACCCAACCGGAACACTGATGAACAACGACATGGACCCGCCCACAGAGCTACGCTTTCTTAGCAGTATCCTGAAAATGCTCTGGACCCATAAAGATTTCGAAGCAACGGTGGGGAGAGAACTCTCCAACTACAGAATCATCGAAACGTTGGAAAACCGGGCCACCAAGGACCTCTGGCAAATCGACGAAGGGTCGAACTGCCGCTTTGACGCTTCCACAAGATACAGCTTCTCTGCCGCCGCAGTAATGATTCGGTTCTTGAAGGCAAGTATCGTCAACCCTGCGTTCATGCACATGCGAAAGCTACATATGCATGAGGACCGTGCCTCTGCCGCTTTCCCCGAATACCACGCGAAGCCCTTCATAGGGTTCTGCAAGATCAATCCAAACCTCAACGTCCACCGCCGCGTCAGCTTATGGAATGCAATATTTGCGTCGGTCCACGACGCAGACCTATATCATCCTGTCAATATTTGTAAGTGGCTGTCACAAGTCTGTCGTCATGACGCCGACTAACGAATCTCTAGTCGCTGCTACTACATTTCGGTGGATGGAAGAAGCGCGAAATATGGCTTACTCGTCTGTCCACCACCATATGCCTTACCGTCTGGAGATCGACTGTGACAACATGCCCGACCTTGCAAGCGATATCATCCATTCGTTCGAGATCGAGGCAGCATGGCAGAACAAACTTGGTGACAGCATGCGTTCGGAATCACAGGGTGTTCACGCCATGGAGGAAACTCATTCCAAGTACGCGTGGGATCGATCAGGGAGTTTTGAGTTTCTTATGGGACTACTTCGAGTACCCCCTCGCGAGGGAATGATGGTGCATTACAACTTCAAACCCAAGAGCGTGCGGCTTGGGTGGATAAGCCGCCTCAGGTTCATGGGGGAGTCATGGGACGAGGCGTCGTGGAGGGAGTACAACGATGAGCGCCAGCGTTTCATGCGGCGGTTGACAATCTTGTGGGATCAAGGGTTCGTCGGAGGTAAGAGGAACGACCCCATCATGATTGATTAGTTCGCGATCTTTCATGATTGTCGTACTTTTTGGTTTTTGATCGGACTTCCGTCGGTTCGGCTTTCTTGCAGCTTCGGGAACTCTTCAATCTCACCGGGAGAGGCTTGTTAGTGTTATTAGGAGTTTTGTGTTATTAATGTTAAGTTATGCTTATCAGCCTTGTCTCATGAATGTTTGAACATAACATACACCCTCACGAACTTCGTCAGTCGTTTTGTCTTAAATGACAATGTCATTCAGACTTCACGTGTTCAGGATACGCATGGGATGAGGTTGTAACTGTGCATGCGAAGATCACTTTGTCATGTATATGATGTTTGATGGCCATTGACTTCTTCACATCCTAACTTTAGCTACGTCCGCTCGCACCAGCCAGTAGGGCTCGTTCCAACTGAAGATGACCATGCTTTCGCATGACACGTCATCTGCAGACCTACTACGACTGCTGCGTCTATCCCATCCCAACTGATTGCAATGCTTGAGTATGGAGATTATCCGTCTGCCACCGGGAGGGACTTCGTGGTGGCGACGCTTTGAGTGTGGTCGTGGCTACTAAGAGGCCCTTCTGGCACTTCAAGCTCGAGCGCGAGGCTTAGAAGCTCTTTTGGCCATGGACACGTCTCCATTGTGATTCCCGACCCCTGCGCGACGCCTTCGCCAGGCCCGAAACTGGAAGTCTGTAGGTGTGGTGGCGCATCATGTCTCAGACACGGCGCGTACTCCTCCGGCATCTTGACATGGTTGAATGCACCCGAGATATCTAGCTGTAGAATGCTGACTTTGCGGGGAGGCTCGCGAGGAGGTTGGCAGATTGAGGGACCCGTGGGTCTTCGGCTGGCCATTTGTAGATGCGGTAGGAGGGTACGATGTAACGATGGATTACTTGAGAGTTGATAGGCGGATCTGTGATTGCTATGGTCAGCGATGTATTCATCGGAGGCCTTGAGGCTCTAGTTACTTACTAGTGGTATTGCTGTTGCTCCGTGCTTCTGTCTTACCACCACAGGATTGGTGTCATGAACGTATGCTGATCTTGCAGTGCCTAAGACGAAAAGTTACATACAAAGTGTCGCCTTGTTATGCGTAGTAGTGAAGATGTTGCGGTGACAACTCTCGCTAGCCCGCGCAGCTCCAAACTATCCGGGGATGGCAGCGATTTTACATTAGACCCAAAGCGGCACCACTGTAAGACGACTGTGCGCTGCACGGCTCGGTGAAATCATGGCCCCGATGTAGCCGGACGACAGGATAGCCTGGATACTCAGATATTGAGGTCAGCACGGGCCGGGATAGACGCAGTAGTACCTCGGTACTAGTAGGGTAGGTGGACACATCCGCGTTGGGCTCGGTATTGGTCGATCCGAAGAATATGGGACAAGGCGAACATGACGCCTCGCATGCCATGTTCGTGTCGATGTGCGTGGCAACCTGGTCATCTCTATCGCTGCAGTGAGCATGCAATGCGTGCGCGCCGAGGTGCAGAGCAAGTGGAGATCTCGTGAACCGCCCCGGGGCTTGGCACGGCCCAAGGTGGGGCTCACGCTAGCTCACTAGCAGCTTGCACTAAGCCTCGCGTAATGCAGGGTTCCCTCGACGTCAGCCCATCGCCCTGAGACTTGAGTCGCTCCATGGCAGCCGAAGATCACATCCATTCTGACGCTTGGGATCTACTACCCAAAACAAGAGGTGGAACATTGATGCCTTGACCTGTGTCGACCTCGGGAACCATCTGTACAGCTGGTGCTGAATCATTGCGAGTCAAGACGTATGTCCCATATCATGGCCAGAAAATGGTCAAGCAAAAGTAGTCGTCAGTACAAATGACTGTGAAAGTCTAGGGATACCTTGGCTTAACGGTGTCACGTCGGTTCTCCGGTGTTTTCTCAAATTTGGAAGGCTGGACTCGGCCGCGCAACACAGTGCATCCGTGGCTCAACAGCCGATTACCACACGGGCTACGCTTTTACGGCTAGATTAGTGCATCATTAAGCCATTAGCTTCCATGGAGACGTAGGCCATACATATGCAACGATTTCAGACGCCATTGCGGCGTGGCCTACGTTGCATACGGACATCTTCCTCGAGCACTTCTTTCCTGTCCACATCATGCCGCAATTGACGCTGTTTGACCTTGCGCACCCTCCTTACAATGTGCCTAAGCCTCGAGACGGGAAGCGAGAGTATCTTCCGGGGGCTTTTTCTTGGCCTCCCAATAAACGCTTCCGCCAACTCACTTTAGAGTTATCCCTCACTGGATTCAGGCCCTCCACACGCCCTTCGCCTTTGAACCTCATGGACTTGCCGCAGGAACTTCTCGACCAGATTTACGAGGAGTACTTTACGCACCCAGGGGGCTATCGCGTCTGCTTTGACACCACCGAACCTGAGACCCAGTGTGTCATCGGATCCGACGGGAAGAAGATCGATCTTTCTCTACGCTTGGTATCAGTAAGACTGGCAAAGGACACTAAGGGACTCGCTTTCAAATACAACGCACTTCACTTCTCTCCAGAGCCGGAAGTACTACATCCGGCGCGAGTCGACACGTTGGACACCAAGCAGTTCGGGCTCTACATGGATCTTCGAACTTTCCTCGACGAGCAAATACTCCACGCCTCGCGCCGCCTACTTACTCCAATCCTAATTGATGAGATCACGTACGACTTTCCTCAATACCGCGGAGCGTTGAATGACTTGATCGCCAACGAACGCCGTGTGGACATGTTTCACGGATGCAAAGGTGACCCAATGTCTATAAGGCGGGCATTTGTACTCCATGCTCTGGATATCCTCCACAAGCTACCACACTTCACTGAGACAGTTCGCGCCGCCCCATCCTGGAATTTGCAACCTCTACTCCGGCCGGCTCAAATTATACGCCCTGTACCGGTCGCCTTCTGGAAATATCCACCACGTTATATTGACGACGATGTAGCTGATCGCCTACAACAGTATAAAGCTATTCATTTGGAGAGGCGTGCGCACATAGAATTGATAGGCAACCTTTCCGCCGCTGCACTGGCAATTCGATTCTTGCAGCGATTGCCGAGCGAGACGATGTCGCAAATACGCAACGTGCACCTGAACGAGGACAAACCTTCGATCTCGTATCCAGAAACGCACGCTCAGGGTCTAAGACCTCTTCTCGAACATTACCCCAAGCTTCATGTCCATCGAAAAGTCTCTATAGACTCAGCGATACTTGATTCCATCGACTCAGTAGCTCGACGCGATTACAGGGGCGAAGGCCGCTTGGCAGACAAATGGAGGATCCACGCGCCATACATCGTCAACAATAAGGGAGCTAGCTGGATGACCTCCACTATCTGGCCATGGATCAGCGAGGTTCTGGCGTTCTCGGCTACATCCAAATCGTCATCACAATTCACCTTCGAGTTTGTGCACGGCACACCCAACACGATGGAACCATGTAGGTTCTTCGAGTTCGTGCAGCGAGATCTGGCCTGGCAAGGCGCTCGCCGTATCGCCTACCAGAAAGACATGGCGAATGGCATACCAGCCTCTGAAACGCATCATACACGCTACCTTTGGCCTCACTACGAGATGATTCGTTCTGCGGTTCAAGACATCATCGACAAATCGTCCCCAGTCAAGTGCAACTTCGAAACTCGACCTGTGTACAGCTCAGCATCACTGTTCACTTCGAACGGTAAGTTGAGAAAAGCAAGGTGGCGTAAGCGCATCGTAAGCGCCCAAGAATGGAGGCCGATAGTGCTGCTAGGGGGGCCGCGCACTCCACCGACTCCCCTTGCTGAGACGTACGAAGCGCTCAGCAAACAGGAAGCTGATCTCCACTTCCACGAGTAGCAGTCCCGAGAAGACACTTATTATCTCGTTATTTCGTTCTCATTAGTAGTAATAATATCGCTTAATCGTACGAATGAATGTCTTTCTCCAGTTTGACGACTACCTCACGCGCCGCACTGATACCGGCTAGGGCATTATTGATCGGTTGTGCCGTGTCACTTGTCTGTGTCCCTGGTGAAGCCAGACATGCACAAGTGAACTTCTTCTGTCATGATTGATAGAACTGGCATTTGTCATGCACATGACGGGTAGCTGAAGACGCGCATGTTATTCATGGAACTTCATTCATTGTCTTGACTGCAAGCAAGTGAACAGATCATCGATAAGTACACCAACGTGTTCACGAGATGCCTCACATAACTAAATATTGGCAGAAGTCCACGGCAGCTCTGCCGCCTGGGCTCTTTTCCCAGAGGCCACTCTCACCGGTAGTATATGTTCGAGTCTAAGATTGCCCCAGCCAGGTAGCAGAGCGTCTGATGACCTGGTGGTTGTACAAGTGATGCTCCCATTGCGACAAGGTCCAGTCGTGACGCTCTCGCTGGAAGCGACCGAAGCGCTCTCTTGGAAGGAAGAGATTAAGCCTTGCGCATGCGACTCGGGTCATTCCACAGGGTCGCAATCTTGCAACAGAATAGAGATTTGCATGCGAAGCATCTCATCAAGAAGCAAACCTTCGGAAGAACGATATCACGGTCGAAGTCGCAACAGATCTGAACACCCTACAGTCCCAACGGCCATAGTGATGTGGCTCTCTACTCCACGCCTTGATCTTGTGTATTGTTGTGGCTACGTTCGGTTCGCTCCGGGGAGTTACGTTCGTGGCGAGGGATGCGACCAAGCGGTTGGTTTCAGGGCCTTTCGTCGGGTAGCGCGCAATCGTCTCGATGTTGAGATACAAGTCGTAGGGTAGATCTGGCGATGTCTCGATATACCGACGAGTAGTCTTCGTGTAGACGGTAGTGAACTGATTCGTATTGTATGTGAGCGCAAGACCTTTGACATTGGCAGCTGGAAGATCGCGACTATACGCGTGGGTGATATCGACAGCGTTGGAGGGGCCTTTTGGGCGACCAGCAACTGTGCTGTTTCGAGTTGTGGACATAACCCTGCCCCTTCGTTGTGTAGTACGCATACACGGTATTGCGAAGCTCTGGTGGAGTGGCTTAGAATCCAGATTGCGGGTGGAATGGAGATTGTGGAGACTCATTCGAGCGCGGGACGAGCCGGACGTGGCTGAGGGCGGCTGGAGTCTAATTGATCAATGAGTAAATGTGATGCTTGCGATGTGCTCGTTATGTGGTTGGTGTGAGCTTCGGACATGAGTATGTATGAGGTTTGAGGGCTTGGGGTGGCTGAACGAGTTGAAGTTTGTACATGATTCTCTATTAGAAGACACGAGCTTCGCCGTGGAGTGCAATGCCAGGCAGCGACGTCGCTTGTGACCTCTGGGCCGAAGAAACAAGGTCCCAAGGTGTGCCGAGCTTGACGAGCTACCACTATTGCCGCATGACGCGAGACGTCCATTTGAACAGAATTATCCACATGCTCAGACGCCTGTACAGATATGTGTATGTTCGTTCGACAGAGAAGGCTACGTGTGTGTTCGCGGGAGGCTGCTCGCTCAGGGGCGGTGTTGAGTGGAAAGCACATCGAATGCTACGACGGATGAGAATAGCGCGCCGAGTCTTGATGTGGCCCTATACACATATGTGAGATCCTTAAACCAACAGAATGTCTGGTCGCGATGTGATTCAGATATCGACAAGCTTTGTGTCCCATAGCTGAGGCACTCGGTCCATGTCGCGCAGTCGGCGTCGCGGAGGGGTTGAGCGGCTACTGTACAGCTTCGTCGCATTGCGCCGTTGGGGCTCGAGAAAGATGATGGCTTGCCGCACGCAAGGTGCTAGAGTATATGGCCTTGCTGCCGTTTTGGTGATGTACATTCGGAGGTGCAGGTGGAAATGCAGGCGGTCGTGGTCGAAGTGCTGGTAGTTCGATGACGCTTTGTGCTGAGGCGCAATCGGCGGGTCGCACTCTGGGCACCCACATGATGGCGCGTGGTCGCCGAAGAGGGGTCCACGTGTGATCGGGTCACTTGCGCGCAACGCCTTTGACATGCATAAGAAACGATGGCAAGCGATGGCTTTTGATGAATAACGTTATTGATGGATGTAGGTCTTAGAGTTTCAAAGATGACGTGAGCATAGTTTACTAGGTTGTCCTGGTCGACGTTCGTGGAGCGCGTTCAAAGCTTCCAAAGTTCTCAGAATGCGACACCACACCTGAGCGACATATTGCGATTTGCTCGCCTTGCTACAATAACTACAGTCGCAACCACGGAACAAGACTTCGCAGCTGCTATTCGAATAGAAGTATAAGAAAACTCATTGTATTATGGCTATGGAATGCTGATACCTATCTCCTCCTCCAAAACCCCGGCTCACTCGACGGGTTTCCGCCCGGTAAAATCTATGCCACGAATGTCCACCGCGCCCACCTTAATTAGACGCTTGAATGCTTTGCTTCGACTTTCCCGCTCTAGTCAAGCGCTTATTCTCTCGACGCTCCTTGTTGTGCATGCGTGCTGCAGACCTCGTACGGGCTGTCCAGGGCCCAATGATCGAGGCTCTTGTTTTGTGGTTGTCGTTGCCCTGGTAGTCGCTGTCCTGATCGTCGCTGTCTGGCTCGTCGCTGTCTGGCTCGTCGCTGTCTGGCTCGTCATCGGCTGGCTCGTCATCGGCTGGCTCGTCGCTGTCTGGCCCTGGCCCCTTGTTGCCTAGCTCTTCGTTCCCATCACAGACATTCTTCCAGTTGGGCTGTGGCTCCAGGAAAGTGGGAGACTCCATGGTCATGGCCACATGATCTGTATGGAGCTGATCCGACTCCTCTTCGACAACTGTCGATTCGGGATTTTTGCCTGAAGGCTCTTGAGGGTGTTCGAAGATGCCCTGGTCTGCGGGTTTCGTGCCGGCAAGTTCGTTGCGTCGTTGGGTGAGCACTTCGTTGAATCGTCGGGTGAGCACTTCGTTCAGCTGTGTGAGCACTTTGTTCCTCCGAACCAACTCAAGCCGCATCTCCATGGTGTCCATGGAAGTCAGTTCATTCGTATCCTGCATCTCGCTAATCTTTCGCGCATCGTCTTTCACAAGCCCATGCTTTCCGGCGATGATTGTATTAAGTTTGCGTTCGAGCTCGACCGCTTCGCCGACCCTGCGTCTGTACCGGCGTGTAAGCTTACTAATCTCATCCTCGAAGAATATGAGGTCCTCCTCCCGTGCATTCCTGAGGTCTTCGTGGTCAGCTTTAAGCAGGTCCAAATCTTCTTTCATCCAGTCAAGCGCCTCTTGCATGACGTCCTTCTTATGAGTGTCCATATCGATGACGCTGTTGCTCTTTCTATGTGTTTGCGTGTTCACGCCATTCTCTTTAATGAGGCGCTCAACCTCCTTAGCCTTCCAGCTATCCAGTTTCTTAAGCGTCACGGAGAGCTCCCATTCCAAGTCCAAAGCGCGAACCATTATATCGGGCACATTGTGTAGTCGTTCAATCGCTTGCTTCCCCATATCGTCTGTGGAACAAGGCCGAGGGGGAACTAGACGGCCAGTGATGGGCGAACGGATGAGGTTTGGGGTATGCGCGGCGGGCATGCGTGACGTCTCATCATCGGAAGATGCTGGGGGCGAAGGAGGGCAGTATGTCATACCACTGCTGGGCACTGTGATGGGTGTTAGCGAAGTAATAGAGATAGCTGGATGAACTGACCCGCGGATCCTCCACGGCGGTCTAGGGAGGGCAACTGTTTGAAGGAATGAGTGTCTCCACTGCTAGACCACGCAGACGCTGAGCAGTGAAGATGCCTTGCGTCTTGTTGGTTGATCATGTCTTCGCGGGGCGTGTTCAACATTGTGGATCTCAAACCTGGGGAGGAAATGGTAGGTATGTGAAGTATTGTTGTGGCCAGTCACGGCACTCAGGATGGCGTCGCGTCATTTGTATGGACATCTGGAAAGCCATTGTATCCAGCCCTTCCTGGAGCGAACACGTTGGCGGAGCGACATGTTGTTGCGACAACGCTGGAATGACTGCGTGGGCGTGAAGGTCGTTTCAGTAGTTCCAAGATCTCTGCGGGGCTGCTTCGGAAGGGATTCTGACCTCGGGAAGTTCAGTGTTTTACCTAGGTAGGATTAGTACTGGCGCTAGCGCCATGCCATCCCTGTCTTGCGAGCAACACCACCCGCGCTCGCCAACGGGGCCCTTGCAGTCGGCCCGTATTAGAGGTTCGTCCAATCAGGCCGTTTTGAACACCCGTCCGGGCTTCTTCACGCGCAAGCGCTGATGAGAAACCTCCTGCCGATACTTGGTTCCCTCAAGTTGAGAACGGATGTTCGGGGAGACATCACCTTGCCGTTCGTCGACGCATGCAGCACGGATACCTGCGCAAGATCCATCTGCCTGACATCGCGCAATCGACGCCCCGCCTCTTCCAAGGTCGTCGCTGCTCCGAGCTGCTACGCCAGATCTCGTTGCACGTAATGTATCTGACATGACAGATTCACACTCGAAGATCACAAAAAGGAGCGAATAGGATGGTGGACCCAATGGTCACATTGCACATGCGGAATCGTCTGACCTATCAGAAACGGACGCATTGATGCCCGGGGAGTGCCCGGGCGAGCTCGCGGCCCAGAAGGGATTACCTGGCTATCGACAAGGACAAAGAAGAATCAAATGCGCTTTTGAGTCGGACAAGAGGTTGATCATGGTTAGTGGTTGGTCGCAACTCAGATGTCAAGGGCGGCACGATATCAACAACGTATGCGCCGTCGCGGCCACTAGTGTTACTGTGTCAACTCCTCGGGCTTACGCGATGTCCGGCTTTGCCCATAGTTTCATTTATCCCGTTCTGGGTGTTTGGCTAAGAAGCCCGCGATGACGCGTGTTGGACCCGGATCGGAGGTTGAACAATTGAGGTTGTCATTTGAAGATCCACTACCTATCACGTAAACAGTGGAGTCTTGTGCATATGATCATAATGTTTAGGTTCATCTTGTCACCACTGGTAAGACGGTAGTCCAGAAGTGTTTCATACATCAAGAGACGGTGCGAAAAAAAGACCATTGCATTGAATCTACGAGACTACTCATCCTCGATAACCATCGGCCATACGAGGTCTGTTGTCCATCCTATCCTTTTTTCTGCCGGTTGGTTCGGCTCAGCGGAATGCTGGCACCCAATCCGCATCCTCGTTGCTCGCTTTCGAAGCTTGATAAATCTTCTCTTCGGGCCGGTGATAGACTGCCTGAATGCAGAGGTTGAAGACACCCTCGAGATCCGGGTTGTGGTGACGTGGCGTTTGCCGGTTCTGCGTTTATCCAAAGCCATTATTGATAGCTCGTTGAATCTTGTCCTGAGACGTTTGTTTTCGGCTACCAACTCACTGCGTTCCTCAGTGAATCTCTTCTTCTCCGCCTCCAGCTCCTTGATGTCGTCACCCGTCAAGAGGAATTGCTCCCACAGTTCCTTGTGCCTGCGAAGGAGCTCTTCATACTCATCGCTGGACTGTGCAGACGCGGCGGGGATCATCATAGCGACCCACCCAGTCTCGAGCCTGTGTCTCAACTCTGGCCTAAGCTGTTTAGGCACGGCAGTGAGCCTCGAAGCAGGCACTGCGGCCGCGAGCTTGTATCTCAACTCTGGGCTAAGCTGTTCCGGCACGGCGGTGATCATCGAAGAAGGCCGTGCGGTCCCGAGCTTATGTCGCAAAACGGTGATCAGATCGCTGTACTCAGCGGACCAGTCGTTGAGCTTTATCAACTCTCCCAAGAGCCTCTCGTTGTCTTTCTCGAGCTGTTCAATCACTCTGTCTTTGTCGTTCGCCTGCTCGACCGTCGCGTAAAGCTCCCATTCCAGCTCAAGGATCCAGAGGTACTGTTGTTTTATAGACTTTCTGTGATGGTTGATGTGCTCGAGAGGGTCTTCGGTCAAATCTTTGTACGACCATGTTTTGAAGGCGCGCATACGAGGATGCATGTTAGGCTGGCGCGGAATGATGCGCCCGGTAATGTGCGAACGCGTGAGGGAAGGCAAATCGACAAGGTCGGCGCTACCCCAGAACTCGGCTGCGGCTGCCGATAATGGTAGGGGGTATATTTCTATGTTCGAGGTCAGCGGGGTTTTTCGGCACAGGGAGGGTTACTGACCAGCGATCTTCCTATGGTGGTCCAGGAAGAACTGCTCTTTTGCGTGACCTCGCTCGCCAACCGGCACCTGTTCTAAAGCTGCTTGCGTTCGTATCGTAGTTTGCGATAGCTCATGACTTAGAAGCGCCCCCCTGTAGGTCTTGAATGATGACATGCTGAGCGTGGAGACGAGGATATGTGAAGGCTCGTTGTGATCAATCTGCCATACTTAGGACGGCGCGTCGTACATATATGCGTGCTGGCATACTGTATGCGAAGTGTTGTTGTAGCGACCTGTTGTCTCGACGACATGTGCGGGAGTGTGAAGGTCGTTTCGGGGAATTAGACAGTTCTCAGTGGGGCGAGGGCTGCCCTAAGATCAATTAGCTTGAGGATCGCCGACGACATGCGCGCTCTAGTGTCGCACGTCCCACCTGGCCAGCGTCGATCATGCAGCGAGCGGCTGGGGTCATCATGTTGGTGTTCCCGTGCACGTGCGCTCGCACGTCATCACTGCACAGATCAGCTTGACGATAACGTCACTCGAACGCTACAGTACAGATTGAACCCAACTTTTCATAATAAAGAACTAACTATCTTATACAAAGCAACAAGTATCAGGAAGCAAAACAGGCGATACGAAGAACTAACAAAGGAAAATAATGACGGTACAACTCGAAACAGCGAAACCCTCCCAAGCAATGCATCTCCACCGATGTTGTAGCTCAACGGCAACCAATCTCACACTGTCGTATCCATCTTCTCTACCGCTACCACAGTAGGCTTCGGGTCCTTCGGCTGTGGCTTAAACCAGTTGTTGAGTTGCTTCTGGCCCTTCTCCAATGGACTAGGAGGGTCGACGGCAGGGGCATCGGGCTGAGAAGAAGTCTCTCTGGAACGTGCACTGGGAACTGACACCTGACCGCGGCGTTCGGGATTGATGTTGTCGTGATAGGGTGGGGAAGAAGCTTCGGGTGGAGAAGAACACTGTCCACCGTCACGGGCATTGGATACTGGCACCTGAGCGCGGCGTTGGGGGTTGACATGGTCGTGATAAGGGGAGGAAGAGGCTTCGGGAGGAGAGGAACTCTGCTCTCGTTCGCGGGCACTGGGAACAGGCACCTGAGCGCGACGTTGATCGTTGACAAAGCGATGATCGGGTACAGATCTCACAAAGTCCTCTCTGCCTTTACCGTATGCTCGCTCGTCGTAAGTAGGTTCGCGGGAATGATCCGAAAGAGCCTGGGTTGACCGTCTCCCAGTAGAAGATTGGGAACTTCTGAAGTTCTTCTTGCCCTTGTTCCTGGGGTTGGGCCTGCGAAGGACTAGCGCATCCTGATCGTGCTCCCGAGCCGGAGAAGAGGAGGTAGACTGCATGCTTTGACTGCTGCTGCTGCTGCTCGAACCTTGATGATGGAGATGAGATTGAGGGGCTCTGTAGACGTGCTGTTGCTCGGCCCGGGAGGTTCCTATTGGTAGACCAAGCCTGAGATCACGCGCCTGATAGAACCATTGCCGCCCGTTTACGATTGCCAGATTCTTCCACATTTGGTGCATGTGCTTTTCGCCCGCCTCCTGTATCGTCTTTCCTCGCCACCTCTCTGATCCAGTTGCGAAGATGAACTTTTCAGGTGTGAAAAGTCTTGCCCCATTCCTTCCGAGCCCCTTGTGAGTTACTTCATAATCAGCGACGATACCGACGACCCAGGGCTGGCAGTTGGCATGACCGGGTATAATGGTACCCGAATGGTACAAGTGTTTTAAGAAGTCTGATCTCTCTACGCATTGTGAGATGAGGAATTCCTCGGCTGGCCGCGTAGCAAAGTCTGCGCCCTTGATCATGTTGTTCTTGGAAATCAAAGGATTTGCCACGGGGCCGTACTGTGTGGTAGGATATTCCATGAGCTCGTCGGCGCGGGGAGGAGGTGGAGACGATGATGCGTGAACAGAGTTCTTCAAGCCTTGTCCATATTTGACCGCAGCGAAGTTTGTACCCTTCCAACCAGTACCGAAATCCGGCCGACCTCCGGGATAGGTGGGTGCGGGAGACGATGGTTCTGTCTGCGAAGAATCGGAGCCGAACACAGAGTCAGCGGTAGACGCTTCGTATTCGCTACTGGCAGTAGCTGAAGGAGAACTCAGATCGATGCACGGAAAGTCATCGTGATCGGTCTCGGCGGAGAGCCTGACCGGCATCTCGCGTTGGGAAGGACTTTGCACTGGCGCCTTGCCTGCACTTGATCCAGTAGAGGACGGGAAGATACTCGACTGGGACTTGAAGCCTCGGTGATCGTCGTAGCTTCGCTTCATCTTCTTGGGAGCCGGCTCATAGCCTTCGATTTCGGAAGCATCGGGCGGAAAGTTATCTATGTCTTCGAAGGGACCGGCCTCGTCCTTCGCCTTCATTTTTCGCAGAAAATGAATCGCCACCTCTTGGTCTCTGATGCTCAAGGGTCCAACAGATTCCAGGAGGCGTTCGATACGTTCTTCGCGTTGCTTTGCGAAATTCGCCCGGACAGGGTTTGGCACCGTAGTCGTCATGATGAGAGGCTAAAGGGCTGGTTGGATATCGCAAAGCCTGAGATGGGAAGCTGGCAAGAACACTTTTGCCTAAGAATAGGTCAGCAGCTGTTGCATGTAACGAGTGGCTCAGAATACATACCGGGTGATGAAGGTAAAATGGTCGAGTAACGAGTTTGACCAGGTGAATTGAAGAGACTTGATAGGCAGATTGATGTAGGCAGCTTCTGAAGTGAACCACTGCTGCTGAGACTGAGCTGTATGATGAGCTCCATGACCGTCTCTTCATCCTCTTTTCATGTCATCCGAGGGCGCGCGCGTCTTCTCCAGATCACTGCACCATTCCTAATCGAAACGGCAACGCGCTGTGCTCAGTGATCTTGAGCGGCTTTCGCTTAACGACCAATCGCTCGCGAGATCAAGATCAACACTCAGTCGAAAGCGCGCGCATCCAGCCAAGACTGTGTGATCTGAAGGCGCGCCGCTAAAGCTGTCAGCATCGTGTGTCGAGACCGGAGGCTGGTAGACCGTTTGGTCTATAACATGATACTGGGATGTTGCTAGTTTGGGGATATTGAAAGCTGACGGAGTCGGGCCTGAATGTTTTGGGCACCGAACCTAGTCAGGTGTTTCGGTGGTTCTTGCCAGAAGCGCCGCCATAGTCTGAACCTTGGAAAGGACCGATCAATCACTGTGTCACGTCACCTCGGCAGATGAGTTATTGTTTACTTGAAGACGCAGCACCCGTAAATTGAGGTGGCTGGTGACATCGTTGGGCTTCAGGGTCAGAGACAAGTCCTGTTCTGCATTCGTTGCACCCGTGGACGTCACTCCCCCAAGACCTTCACGGCGTACCACTGCAAAGATTCTCCGTGCTTGGCAGACTTGAACGCATCTAGCCCTAGACTCCCATTGCAGGTCACGTCATAAGCTGCTAAGTCATACTTCGGCCGTCACGAGGTGACGAGATGCTATCGTTATCATGCAATTACCTGCCGCGTCTAACTGTCGCAGAGTAGTATGGTAATCAGTGCGCCGTAAACTGAGGCAATCTTATGCTCTCTTCCATCTAATGTTTCGAGGCTTGTCATTGCTCTTGCCAAAAGGTAACCGCATCACCGCTACTGCATGGCGTGGGCGGTCATTGCTCCTCTGTCTCATAGAGTCGACCGCATTGGCGATAAGCCTCGATAGCTCTGGTCTTGCTCACTAGTGATTTCGAGACACGATTGTGTATCGTGAAGCAAGCGTGGTTTAATTGATATAGAACCAACGCAGGGTCATGTTGCGGCTTCCAACCGTGCCCAGGTGGAAAGTGCTGTTGCACTAGCACCCATGAAATGTATCCTTCCACGAATCATTCAAGATTATGCGTGATGGCAGTGATTGCTGTTCAACTATTTCTAGGTCTCAGACCATTTCTGTCCCAAACTAAGGCTCCAGATGTAGGGTTGGGTTATACCTCCCGATTTCGTCAATCTCCCGTATGAATAGCCTCGTTCAGTCTTCCACCACTCACAGCGCAATCTATCTCTCAGGAGTGATTCGAACAAATAAATGTCCCGAACCATCATAGATTCATGAAGTAACTGAATGGGGTTCTTTGACTACAGTAGAACTTCCCGAGGTCTCAATTTGGCTTGATGCGCTACTAGCTAGACACATGTATCCGGTTTGTCGTTGCATTACGGTATGGAGTATTCCACGTGACTTTGTATAATGACAAACTAACCTTTATTGAGACCTGAGGAGGGTTACAAGATGGTACGGCAACTATTTGAGCGTGCAGCGCTCTTGTTGATGCAATTGTTAGTCGATATCAACCCCACCACCAAGATGCGTCGGAAACGACATTATCGTTTGAGCAAGCTGTAAAACAATGTCAAGCTCATGTTAGCCCTTCTTGAAGTCTATGAGAGTTTATACTACGGGTTTAAACTGGTGAAACTCGATGGTCCATTGTCAAATAATTCTTTCGCGTCTAGACAGTTGTATGCTGACGGCAAAAGTGACATCCGTCTCCAGCAACGCAAGCCCCCAGAACAATGATGGAACACTACCGAAGATGCTTCTCTCATGAAATGATCGAGTAAAGTCATGATGTACGTAAACGAAGAATGATGTTGAAGGTATACAACTAACTCGAGACTATGGCGCGTATGGGTACTGGCGAACAAGAAGGCGCACACTTTGCTGCACGTTCACAGACTACATCAACTCGACAACTTTAGATTGGCGGAACAAGCACTCGAACATTAAATTTCCGGTGCACTACGAGTAGGTCAAAGCATGGCTTCTTGGATGCAGCTGACCAACCTCGATGTCGTCTATCACGGCTGCTTCGATATCTTCTGTTGAGATATACCCAACTCCACCCCAACGACGAGGCCGCGACATCTAGTTACCGCGGGTCATCATCTGATATGTTTCTCGTTGTTGTTATTCACACTTCGCGGCTTGACTATGAGATTTATTGCATGTGCACGGAAACTTGTATTACTGAATCGAGATTGATGGCGCATGATATTTATATCAAAGAACGAAGTGTACAACGAAAAACTATGAATTTTAGGGAACAAAATAAAACAAAAATACAAGTTTGGCCACAGTTAAGATAGCAGAGAGCATGGGGTGGCTAAAAAGCCAAAGAGAAGGTCTGGTGTTGGAGACAGCTCAATGCGCATGCACGACAACACCACCAGGTAGTATAGTCGTCGTTCGCTATCCATTGTTGGAAGAGTTGCGGGCATAACGCGAATACATATCGAGAGCAGTTTGGGTATTAGGCGGCGGACCGGCTTTCCGCTTCGTACTGTTGTTGGGTCCCTTCACGCGAACACGACGTCGTTTCACCACAACGCCCTCATTCTCATTACGAAAAGCAGGCCAGTTCGTAGGCGGTTCTGGATTTACTCCCTTCACACGAGGCACTGGTCCCATTTTGGTGCTAGGAAAGTTCCGATAATGTGGAAACTCACTTCCAGACGACTGCGGTGTTGAACGCGTGATTGTAGAAGCCGGCGCTGGGATACGAGTGGGCGGCTGCGAGAATGCCTTTGAAGGTGTGGCAGAAGCCTTTGGGGTAGCCGCGGCTTTCGGTGACTCTTCTTGCGTGGAGGCTTGCGATGAACTCGGAGAGGTAACAGTCGGTGTCAACGCACAAGATGCGGGTTTCGGTACCATCGGTTGTGAGACGGGTGGCGACAGCGTCTTTGACCGGCCGACGAAAGAGGAGGTTGGTGTGTTCTCGACAAAAGAGTTATCCAATGGCTTGGGATGTGAAAGAGCCCGCATGTCCGCACTGGAAAAGCTCTCATAAGACATACTCGACGCTACCGAATGAGATCTGGTTTCACGATATGGTCCCATATGTTCTGGGAATGGCTGTGTAGAGGCGGGCGCTGGTGCGCACCGAACAGATGTGTTTGATGCCATCGAGAGAGAACGACTGTAAGTCTGCGCCGCTCCCGCGGATGGCTGATCAGAAGAGGGAACCTCCAGATCCGATGCCACGTCTTGTGATAGATATTCATCCATATCCATGTCGCCTTCGTTGGACAGCTCGAATGACTCCTGAGAATCTGGGAATGGGAGTTGGCTATCCAGTTCAGTATCATACTGAATAGACGTCTCTGCTCTCGATACGTCCGGTTCTGCGACAGAAGCGAGCGAGAGCTCTTGCGCGTCACCTTTCGAAACCTTTGGCAAGGTGTCGACTGTAGGGTCATCATCGACGAGAGGGAAGAACTCCCAGAACACCTTTCGTTCGGCATGCTTGCGGCTCTCGTTGATAGCTCTTAGCGTGATTGGATCCTGGCATTGGGGGCCCCAGGAAGGATGATTTCGTCCACAATTGATGCAACACTCAACCCCGTTGCATTTACCTTCCGATGCTCGGTGATCTTTCGAGCTGCAACGCAGACAGTTTAAATCGTTGGGTGTAGGACACTGATTTTTGAGATGCCCATACCGCCCGCAGGTAAAGCATTGTTTCGGTGACGAGCGCTTGTCGTACGCCTTAGCATACGCCATGTGACCGCTAAGAACCACCCCTTTCGCATGGACGAGTTTTTGCGCATCGCCCAAGCGATCAAGCGTCCATATGAGCTTCTTGTATGTCCACCTGGCGTCCTTGATAATGACTCGATTGCGTCTGCCCCAAGCTGTGATGAAGTCCATTGGTTGCTTGAACTGGACTTTCGCTCGGGATCCAAGATTGACGATTTGGACTTGATAGCTTTGTGCCAGCAAAGTGCAGTCCTCCTTAGGCACCTCGAGCATGGGTCCAATCATATGTTGCTGAAGGTGCAAAGCGGCCTCGGCTTCTGGGTTTGTGACCATGAGCACCAGCGCCGTTCGTTCCAGGCGGCAGGCTACAACCTGGTTGAATGGGGCTCCCTTAGAGGAGATCTTTTGTACAATCTCCGCGTTCGTCTTGTCATCGATGGTAGCTCGGGCACCATGGCTAAGGGCGAACTTGATTTCGTAGGACCGTTGATGGGATGTCGTTACGGGCGCCTTGTTCGATACGCGTAAGGTAGTAGTCAGGTGTTTCACTTCTTGCTCCAGTCGGTCGAAATCCTGGCGGGAGGTGGCCGTAGGTGTAATTGAAGGCTGTAACGCCTGATCATCTGCCAGAGCAGTCTGGAACGCGACAAGCTGTTCTTCACTGAGCAGGAGAGATCTGATGAAATTGTTGAGGTTTGGGTGGCGGGAGGGTGAAAACGACATGATGAAGTATGGACAAAACAGTGATCGAAAGAAGTGATTGTAGTACAAGGTGTGAGAGAGCGATGTTCTCTTCTTCTCGGTTTGACGAACTAACAAAGCGAGAAACTAGAGGCAGGTACTTATACAGATTCCAACGTCATGAGATCAACGCATGTTCTCTGGACGCGCACTTCCTTAGGGCTTCGCGTGCTATCTGCTCCAAACGGGGCATCGCCCCTGAGCACGTTCTCCACAAGTCCTCAGACTCGGAGGCAATACCCATCAGACGGCCCCATACTGAGTTCGCGGCGCGGATGTCACATTCCCGTGAGCCATATAATCTATCTTGAACAATAGTGTGCTGTGCCGGCTGCCTCCGTCTTGTTGAGACGTGTTTGCGTCAGGAAAAGCTTTGGCTATCCACTTCAGAAGATAGTCTATGGCTCGGAAACAATCTCGCGAAGTTATTCCTCGGCCGTAGCATGGCTGAATGGCATAGGCTATCCCATTCGCGGCACGCCAGATCAAGAGGTGGTTGGAGCAAGCAGAAATCCGGCCCTTATCCGGCACGAATGGCGCAATAATCGAATATCAAGGTTCAGTTTGACACGGCTCGGCACCATGTATGACGAAGTGACGCCTGTAAGAGGAGGTTGACGATGCTTGGGGGGAGGTTGGCGATGCGTAGAAAGAGGTTGGCGATGCGTAGAAAGAGGTTGGCGATGCGTAGAAGGAGGTTGGGAGTACCAGTCCACGTAACTAGCGTCGCTAGCGTCACTTCAGACGCGTGACCACGCGCGACCGCATACGCGAACAGCAGGGTCCAAAAGTGGGGCATGACGTTTCGGCGACTTTCACGATAATTGTGCGCCTACGATAGTTTGACACGCAATAGTAGGTCCGGCGATTCTGCCGTGACAGGACTACGAGTGCGCGCTTGCGCTGGATCACCAATGCAAATATGAGTTTATATATCGTCTTGTCCTCGATCCAAGAATTCCACAACGCCTCTACTATACAGCGCAAACTCCACTATCATGTCTCTCTACCGCCAAAGGCTGCCCCGTACATTACGGCACACGCCCTCGCCAACGCCCTCGCCACCTCGGGCTCTCACGTCGGCTCCGTTGTCTGCATACAACTTCTCTTCGCCTTTTATAAACCGCGAGCAAGACACTGCCGCAGCGCCGGCTGGTCATGGTACAGTGCATGTCCAAATACTTGTCGCTCAGGGCTAACTATGGTGACAGATGTGACGAGCGACACGACGAGCGATATGCCCTCATCTTATCCCGATCTCCAACCTCACCAGTCACACAACGACGATCTTGCCAATGACAGCTCGGCCAGCGAAGTCTCGCCCTGCGGCACCCCTTCGAAAGACTACAGCGACGTGTATAGCCTCAACATGAAGTGTTCATGGTTGAGATATAAGAGTCTTAGAGACCATGTTGCGAGACTGGCAGCCGCCTATGATGCAGCTCAAGACCAAAGCCTGGTGGAACGGCCGCCTGCTGTCATCTGTGTGCAAGACCCGCCACCTCACATAGCATATCACAGCATCCAAGGCTACCGTTGCGAGTTCCATGCTCCCAAGGCCCTAAACCCTTCAGATTACCCGCATCTGTACAGTCTCAAGGGTCAGCTCACGCACCTCGATAAGAAGACCAAAAGGCGAACAGCGAAGGCTGTGAAAGACCAGGCTCCGACCATGGCGACCGTAGATCCAGCGGAGCGAACAGCGAATGAGCAGGCGGTTTCAAAGCTGAGTGAAGAAAGCACGGCAGCCAGCTTCAAGAGGCTAGCTGCCGCCATGGGCTTACGACAAGTCGCGTTCTTCATACGTGATGATATACCCAAGAGCGATACACGCATCATGCCTCATCTTGGCGGCAATGAGGCATACGTCGCCACACTCGAGTTGGATACTCAATCCGGTACGCTGTGCATACACAACATGTACAACCACGACATGAAGATCGATATGAAAGAGCTCAAGGACCGCTGTATGCAGTCAGACGACGATTTGCTTCTCGGGGATTCCAACCTCCACCACAAGCTTTGGGGTGGAGCTACCGCTCGTGTCGCAGCGACAGAAACCTCTCTGTCTCGTCAATTGGCCCAAGCTTTGCAAGACACCCGTATGCAGAGCTGCATGACTCTCGGTACCCCTACTTATGCCCGCGGTGTCAGGGCGCTTCTAGCATCACACCAGACCGCAATCGACATCGTGTTTGCCAGCTTTCACCTACGGTCACGGATACACGAATGTGGTCCCATATACGTCAGAGGCTATGAGTCTGACCATGCTGTCATCAGGATGTCCATCGATATACAGCCAACTTCTGCTCCGCCGAAGACGAAAAAGCTCTACGAGGAGATCGACGAACAATTCAAGGGGGACCTTATCTCGCAGATCAAGAGTTTTGTTCGAACCCCCAACGACTCGGCTGAGTATGGCGCGCATGTTGTTCAATGTATCGCTGCTGCCGACGAACGTGTACCCACCAAACGCCAGTTCCGAAAGTCAAAGCCACCGACTCCAACGCGTTTTGCGCAGAAACTTGAGGTCGAGCGCAGGGCCCTGGTAGCTTTAGAGAAGAAGCCCACCCCTGACACCACGAAGCGTTATGAGGAGGCCAGACGAGACCTCAACAAGGACATCTCGAAAGAGAGTCGCAATAACTTTCGCAACGAGATCACTCGCTCTCCAGAAGGACTCAGATATCGTCACTACCTCTGGGCTCGACGCGCACAAACATGGTCGCAGCCCAAGCAAGCGCCCACTATGCCTATTCTCCAAGTCAACGACGATATCTACGTCACAACTCAAGAGAAGGCTATTTTGTACGCCCGCACAATTTGGCCGGACGTTCATCAGCAAACACAAGGCCCACCTAGCTACGCAACGCTGCCCGATCTCTGCGAGCGGGAGCAGTTGTCGTGCAACCAATTCGTCACGGAGAAAGAAGTCCTCGACACAATACGCGAATTACCTGATCGCAAGGCCCGCGGCTCAGATGGGATCAGCAATGAACTGCTGAAAGCTTGTGCAACAGAGCTTGCCCCAGTCTTAGCGGAACTCTTCACCGAAATGTTCCAACAGAGCCTTCATATCAAGGAGTTCAGCCATGCTATCACGACTCTTTTGCTCAAGTCAGGCAGAGCGCCAGGCAATCCGAAGAGCTACCGGCCTGTTGCATTACTTTCCTGCTTAGCAAAAGTCTTCGAGAAATTGATTGCGAATCGCTATCGTTATCTTGCGGAGACTCACGGTTTACTTCCGACCTTGCAGTTCGGAGCTCCTGGAAAGGACACTACAAAGGCACTGCAAGCGATTATTAGTCCCGTTTACACAGGCTGGTGTACGAAGCAGAAGACAACATTACTGAGCCTCGACATCACGGGTGCTTTCGATCGCGTTGACCGAGAAAAGCTCCTCCAGATACTGGTAAACAAAGGCATTCCAGACTGGCTGATCCGCCTGACTGCTTCTTTCTTGTCTGAAAGGAGCACTACACTCAACATGCTTGGAACCATGTCGGAACCATTCTGGGTAAATATTGGGATTCCTCAAGGAAGCCCTCTCTCACCCATCCTCTTCTTATTCTCCGCCGGCGATATTCTTACACTCTTCGGAAGAAAGGACTATTGTGGAAGCAACGCCAGGGTCCATTGTTTCGCGTACGTCGACGATACCTATCTAATGGTCACATCTCCTACCTATGACATGAACATCAAAATCCTGGAGCTGATGCACGACAAGCTTCTCAACTGGGCCACGGACAATGGATACGAATTTGGTGCGCACAAGTACTCGCTCATGCACTTTCGTCCGCATTGGAATTCGCCGTTGTGCGACTTGATTCCCAACAATATCCCGAACTTCGGTGTAGGTCGCGACGTTGCCGATCCAGTTCTGAGAACCGACTTAGAGCCGATGAATATTCTCGGTGTTCTTGTGGGTCCGCGACTATGTTGGAAAGCACATGTCGCCATGATCGAGGGAAAGGTTGCGCGCAAGCTACGTGCTCTACTGCGTGTTACTGGGTCCACCTGGGGGCGATCAGTCCACGACATGCGAGAACTATATCGTACCACAATCATCCCCATCATCGCCTATGGATGCGGAGCCTGGTATGTGAACATCATCGATGGGCCCATCAAGTGGAATATTCCGAAGTATCTCGTCCACCAACTGGAGGGTTTACAATATTCGTCCTTGATGCAGATTTCTGGGGCCTTTCACAACACCGCAGCAAGAATACTCGAAAAGGAGTTATTCATCGAACCTCTCGTAGTCACACTAGGACGATTATCCATCTCGCATCGCGTCCGATCACTCTACGACCAGGATGTAGTTCTATCACAACAAGCAAGGACGGAACGACATGGCAGGCTTAATGTGGAGCATCACCCGTACCGCATTCTTGATGGAGAGGCATGCCAAGTTGAGCGAGCTGCATGGGCCTACCTCTGTCAGAGAAAATCCGGTGAAGAGGCTTTAAAAGACTGGGATGACCGCCACAAGCGAAGAAAGGCCATCACCGTATATCTCAAGCAATGGGCCTTTCTTCAAAGCAAACACATGTGGGACGAATATCGCATATCGCGACTCGCTCGAGGAAGACATGTCTGCCCAGCCTTGGATAGCGACTTTTACGCCGAGTGGGACGACCAAAGCCTCAAATGCTACAAGGGGTTGACGCGCGCTCAAAGCACTATGCTTCTGCACATGCGTACTACGTTCATCGGCCTCAACGCTCATCTACACTCGATCAAGGTTAGTCTACGGCTGCATTTAAGTCTAGTTTTCTAGCTGACACACTTCTACAGTGCTCGGACACAGCGTTCTGCCCTTGCCTTCGCGACCGTCATACAGCAAAGCATCTACTTTTAGACTGTCATCTGCTACACAACGAACGCAGCGACCTGCTCAAATCGATCGGCCACCTCAGGCTCCAGCATATGCTTACCAAGGACGCGTTCGAGACTACACGCTGGGCCATTATCCACTTCGACATCGCGCAATGGCAGTTGGCAAAGAAGGAGGCGCGACGTTGGAAGGCCCCCCAACCGAAGAAGAAGAAGAGCAAGAAGAAGAAGGACGAATCTCCTCAGAGCAGTGAGGGCACTTCTTCGCAGCCTGGCAATGGTCGACGCCGAAGCTCTAGCCCATAAGGCGCCCGACACGTCCCCAACACTCTCCGTGGACCCTGTTTCACCGATTCACCGTTCACAACGACAGCGTGTCGCCGGCCGCTACCGCGTCAACGACTCTTCAATCCGCTGTCACGATCTCGGAGGCGCTGCTTCCACTACCGCATTATACTCTTGGTTTTCGCCATGTCTCCCCCAATTGAGGATTTCGTCACACTATATCTCTCCACCACGATACTCCCAGCCGTCGGCGCTCCTTCTATCCGACACCTTCTCTCCGACACTCCACTACGACACTCCACTACGACACTCCACTACGACACTCCACTACGACACTCCACTACGATGCCTCCACCACATACCTCCGTTGCGATACCACCACTACGACATCTCTCTCAAGGCGACAGCCCTTCTATCAATACCTTTTCCATGCTTCTAACCACACCGCCGCCGTCACCACGCTCGCTCCACCCATTTCACGTTCACCAAGTCACCGACGCTGCTGGAACTTTCCCGCGTCTTAGCGAAATTTTCGCCACAAACCTTTTCACGACCTCAGCAGCTACAGCTTAACTGCTGCCTGCCGCCTATCGATGGCTAGTCATGCCACGAGCGCAGCTTAGCGCGGCAGCGCTGCTGCCGTGTTCGCACATCTCGGCTAGGACTCCATCAGGACGCTGTACGACATCAACGGCCCTCGTCACGCCTTGATCGTAGCTCAGCACGCAGTGTTGCTACAGTGTCCCAAGAGCTTAGCTAGAGCTTTATCATTAGCATTCCCCCCCGGGCCTTAGGGACGGGGCCTACTGCGTCATGTCTTATGACATCATACTGTGTTGTAAGTCCTCCATATTCAGTATCGCAAGCTTTTCATTAACATGCTGGGTCAGACAAACAACAAACAAACAAACTTTCAAGCCATTGAAACCAAGCCCGAGTAAGTTCTAGCAGCTCTGATCTGGCTCTCGCACCGATACTGATATTGCTCTCCAAGTAGACTCGAACGCCTCTTGCCGCCCGCCCGCACTTTCCTTTCTCACACTTTCACGACATAGTACTTAGACCTAGGATGTAGTGTGACTCGAGCTTGGCTAACTTCAAGCAGGACTTGCGATCCACATTGACTTGTTCATTGCTACTGACATTACACAGACAATACCCAGGTATGCCGTACTCATTAGCCCTACCAGCCAGCACTGAGCTCACACAAGCAGCAGCAGCAGCACCGCCGCATTGCACGCAATCCCTCTCAAAAGCGAGGTATGAAGGCCAATAGCGTTGAATGACTTGGACCTAAGCTGATACATGTAGCGCCGCCGCCGCTTCCATTGCAGTCGCAATTGCCCGAAGGCTCAAGGAAATCCTGGAATGTATGAGTTACCAGTTGACTACTTCTGCTCGGCGCTTTACTTACTGAGGCAGCAGCATCAGCAGCGACATGTCCGTAGTGCCACGAAAGGGCCACATATCCTGTAAGCCATGGTCATCCACGCCGTCTTCTCATTGTCGTGCTCACTCCAGTAGCCGCAGCCCGATACGCCAGCCAAATACCCCAGAAAGATCTCGAATACACCCACAGTCCATGTATGCCATGTCCACCGTCTCCAACCTTTCATTCCCTTGCTTACTCAAGCAGCAGGCCAGTCGCGCATCCTACCGCAAGCTTGTCGACAAGCCATGTATGTATCTTGGTTCCACAAAGCTATTGGCATCGAGCTTACCCGACCAGCAGTATCGCCCTGTTGTCCGAATCGTCCGTCTCGCTCGTATCGTCGGCCCAATCGTGGGTTCGTAGTCGTCGTCGTCGTCGTCGTCAATCGCCGTGAGTTGCGAGATACCGTCCCCACTCCGATGAGCGCCGCTAATGCGTTGTTCAGAGCCTATACGGAAGCTGCGGGTGTAGCCGTGGAGGCAGTTCGAAGCGCCTTTGCGTCGAGGAGATCCTCCACCATGGTGAGGACCTGCAGCATCCAGGCCTCGTGTTTGTACGTTGCACTATTCACTCGCCCCTTCTCCGAGCTTAGTTCGTGATGATCCGCACCACCGACTGCAATTCCTTTCACAAAGCCTTTTGTCGATTGTGCGCTGACACTGGCAACCTAGGCCCGATCGTATGACGTTCTCCACGAAGTCAGTTTGGACTGGAGAGAGCAAGCCATGGCGTGAAGCCTCAACAAGGTCCAGCCAGTAAGCGGGCCCAACTACACTGGCACCCACATCAATACTAATTGTGCGTCTCTTCAACTAGACGGGAATACTGCAGACCAGCGAAGTCCACATACTCCGGGGAACCGCCACTCACCATCATAGCGATGGATCCCAAGGTAGCCACATGTAGGTCTCCATGTGCACTTAAAGCGATCAAACTAATCCTTCAAAGGGATCCCGAATGTAGCATCAGATGCGCAGCGTCGTACGGCATCGAGAACGTTGAATCCATGGACCAGCCCAGTGTGTGCGGCGGTCTCGTCCATGATCATCTCGTGCTGCCAGTCCACCGAGATGTACTCCGTGAGGTCGAACTTAGTAGGTGTTGTCGTATGATGTCACTACTTCTCTAACAGCATCTAGCCGCTTCTGTATTTGCAAGCCACCGTGGCCGGCACCACAGGCGGCACGTAGCACCTACGCATCTCAGGGATGTAGGGAGTCGTGAAGTGTATGTTGCACATGGTAGCTTGACACCAAGACTCATCTGTACTAATGATCATAGTGTCCGACATGTTGTAGTGTGTTGTGGTTGGAAAGATGGATGTAAAGGAAGATTTGGAAGGTGTAGAAGATGTAGAGGATGAGGATGAGGAAGATGAGAGGAGAGAGGAAGACGAGAGGTTTGTGTGAACCATGAAACATTGGGTTGAGGCTTTGTTGACACGTTCAGAGCAGAGGTTTTCGCTTTTCTGCGACTGCTAAAGGGTCCAGTGCGATTACACGGTAAATTCTGTTCCCTCCCTCATCATTCTCTGCTGTTTCTGACAGTTCCACAGTACAAGACCCTTCCGTTGGGATAGCCGTTGCGCAATGAATTCAGGGTCGCTGCGCACAGGATTCAGGGTCATGAGTAAGGCATCTAACTCGATCGATCAATAAGCAGAGCGCTAATTCATCCCAAAGACTGCTACGCCTTACCGCCTTGCTGCCTCACAGCCTCGTTTTGGAAACAGCTTCAAATGCGTGAGTAAAGCCTCGACACACCTGATCGCCATATCAATCGCTAAAGTAGGACAGGTTCAAGTCCTTGGACGTTTGTGGCCGTTCCTCCACGGTTGTAGCCCCCTCTACCCCATGCTTTTGCATGGGGCTTCCGGTAAGCAATGAGTAAGAAGCTTAGTGCAGACGGCCTGCGCGCATAATACTGACTCTGAGCTAGGATGTATATGCGACTCCTGAATGCCTTCCTGGAGGCATACAGAGCGCGTAGGTAAGCGCCCCGTTCTAACACATAAACACAACAAGCGCTGATTGCTGTTCAGGATACTCGCATGCTCCCTTTCTCTGTGGGATCTGGGCTGAATCCTGGCTCCTTGCCTTCATGCTTTTGCATGAGGTTTGAGAGCGTCGAGTAAGAACTCCGATACAACTGTTGAAGACAAAGGTTATTAATTCGAGTACAGACTTCATGGCTTGGTTTCATTTCCTGAACCTTTGAAAGAATATGTGAGTTCTCTGACTCCCGCCCCAACTTCGATCACGTCCAACGACTAACGATCTTTCTAGATACTGCTGCATACTGTGAAACAAGGTGTTTAGGAAATACACCTGCATTGCGATTAAATACTGTGTTACTCAACCGCGTTGTGCCCGCATTTCTGCACCAGCACATTCAACAAAGCAATAAAAAATCCTAACAAAACGTTCGTCCCTCGCTATTCCGTTGTCACGAGTCATCTGGGACGCATCCAAACATCAGTTTGGGCACGACCCCTCAGTCTGTTTCTGGTAAAGGATTCTAGTCGATGACGGCCCTGAATACGGAGTGAGCCTGAATTGAGCCCGACCTCCGAAGGCGACATGCGCAGAGTGGGTGCACTTCCTACACCCAGACTCAGTATCGCAAGCAACATCATATTCATCTCAGCTACCAGGATACAGCCGCATCGCCGAGACCGAGAGCCTGAACGGGGTTGCAGCGGCCTGAGATGAAGGCGTTGACCCCACTGACCCAAGCACTCGGCCCAGGGCGAACCTTGGAACCTTAAAACATTACGAAAGCGCCCCGCTGCCCGCTTTCTCGTGACGCGGCTGCTGCCTGCTACTGGAAATCCTCTTTACAACCCTTCCTTCCACAGTTTCTCGTTCCCTTCTTCTCTTCCACCTCTACGACCGAAGCTCGACACGCGCACGCTCAGCCTTAAGTCGAAGACGACTCTGCACTACGACCGCGATCACAACCACAACTATAGCTACGATTACTACGGCTTCGAATGCGACCACCGCTGCCGCTATCACCTACACCATGGTAGCATTGAAGGGCTTTTGCAGGCTCCCCCGAGAGTTGCGCGACCAGATTTACGCAGAGTACTTCACCATCGAAGGCGGTTATCATTACGACCATGCAGCAAACAAATTAGTCACAGCCGCAGGTGACGGCATCGATCTCAACGTCAGGCTGACGAACCGCCAGGTAGCAGTTGAGACTCGAGGGCTTGCATTCAAGCTAAACGCAGTCAACTTCTCAACTGTGTACGACAGGGACCTTAACCAGAGAGCCGGCAACTTCAACACCCTTGTGACTATAATTAATGACTTGAAAGGACGATACTTCCTCATCGATGCTCAGCGATCTCGCTTATTCGACGCCAAAGTACGCACATACGTCGAGGAGCACCATCCTCATTTCCTACCTGTCCTGGACGCGTTGGAAGCCGGTAGTGTCACGAATAGCGACAGTTATGTGTGGAAGGAGACTCCGTCACAGTCGCGACACTTCGTAGAATCGACACTCCACGTCATGGCTGCGCAACCGGATTTTAACGAGACCGTCACTCGAGCTTCGAATTGGCACGGGAGAGATGATAATCCCCGCCCTGATCCCTTCCCTGTGGTAGCGCACCATCATGTGCCTTGGAGCCTGCCCAGTGAGGAGGAACTTGCGGCGATGCGCGAAATAGTATCGCCACATCCTATTGTAGCCACCCGGTTCAAAAACTGGCAGTACTGGGAGAAGGAGAAGTACAGGCTATCCGCGGCCACCACGTCCATCGCCTTCCTTGGATCTCTGACCTGCAAGACACGACTCGAGTTGCGCAATTTGGTCTTGCACGAAGATCACGTCGCGGTTGCGTGGCCTGAGTGCCATGTGCAAGGCTTGATACCATTCTGTCAAGAGAATTCTAAGTTGCGCATAGAGCGTAGAGTTTCCCTTTGGAAAGCCATGCTACCTGCAGCCGCCGCCTCGCTCTACGCGATTATGACCAATCCACCCGCAGCCCAACGGCGATCCAGATACGACTGCGTCCCTCCACAAATACTTAGTCGAGGAAGTTTTGGCTATAGCGGCGTGGCTGACTGGATAATGGAGGCGCTGGCTCTCGAATCTCTTGGGATGCCATCGGGTTGCTTCACTTTTGTCATCGACGGCGAGCCCACACCTGAGCAGTCAACACGGGTCTTCAACATCCTACAGCATAACGCCGCATGGCAGACTGCCTATGACCTCTCTATTCACGATTCGACCGTGTGGCCAGTCCCACTCACGTGGTTGCAAGGTCGAGACCACAAGGCATACATCATGAGAGGGTTTCCCGATGCCTTGAAGGCTATTAGTGCGGGTAGGTCAGTCGTCAAGTGCGACATCGACACCGGGCTTGGACTTGATGTGGACAAAATCATTGCGGAGGGCCGATCATGGACCCAGAGAGAATGGCTAGAGAACTGGTCGTCGACTGTCCAGCTTCACGGCAACATACACACTAGTGACCCACTACCGAGCTGGATTGAGCTCCGGATGGAGGATATGTTGGAGGAGGAAGGAACGGAGTGATCGTATGCTTGCGCTTTTGTTTCGTGCTTGCATCGACGACTGGGCGTATCTCCAGACTTAGAAGCGGCCTCACCGCGCCATCATCCGTCAAGCAAGCCCTACATGACGGCAGACTAGTCACCAACAATGCCAATTAATAGACATGCATGCACTGTTTCTCCACTGATCTATCGAAGCTTCACCTCATCAAGAACCTATGTCGTTCACATCGCCTGATATCCCCGCTCCCAGACGTGCGCACGAGGAGGTCGGCTACCCTTGAGGCTGCACGCTGCACGTTCACCCGCAGAGCCTCTCCAATGCCGCCGCCGCGGGTTCCACGTATCCGACCACAACAATCGCGCAAAACCGCCTCAGCTCGCTAGTTTTCCCGGCCTCGTCTTGCTACGCAGCTGGCGTAAGTCGCATGGCAACTGAAAGTCATGGGCAAGGCTGAGTTTCTGGCACTCGGGAGATCTTCGGCGGTCTTTGTCGACCTTCCGCCCGCTCACCAACGCTGAGCTTTGCGCTGACACTCCCCTGCATCCTTCAGGTATCGTACTACGATCAGGACACGACATTGTAACCGGGACAGTCAACACACGCAAGGTATCACCGTTACATTTGATATCGCACTGCTATGCGTGCGACGTGCCAGCCCAGGGCTGCGACGCGCCATACTCGGGCATCAAGATGAGCACCCAGTAGCATTGAGCTAATACGGCAAAACAGTTGCCTTCCAATGCCGCTTCAGAACCCGTCTTCACGTTCAGCCACGAGCCCACCCACGTCCCGCCTTGTCCATGGCTTTGCGCTTCTTCGAGATTCATACCCACCGCTATCGCTTGCAATACGAGGCCGCAGCCCCCGCGAATACCCCACCTCCGTAGCACGCCCGAACGCAGACATACAGTCATACATATACTAGCTGGGATAAAGCTGGAGGCTTGGTACAATGCGATGGGCTGGCATCTGGTGTTCGGTCGCTGCGCACGCAAGCGCAGGAGCGACAGCTGTCGACCGAGAAGATGCTGTTACTCGCAGCGCGCCTTCGATTGGAGAGGTCAAATACAGCTGGCTTTGGACATGCTGGGTGCGGAATTGAGTTTCCTCTCCCAAGCTCCAAGCCCGCCATAGGCCCTGGCTGTGTCGAGAGTGTTTCCTTGGTGATCGCCGACACATCATGCGAAATCGGGTCCGACATCGCCTATGGGCTGTCTGGCGCAGAGCTTTAGCACTTACTCCAAGATCTCCTATCACTATATCGGCCTGAGTTGAAGCTGTTTTTATCGGCCACATCGTCCAAGACGGCAGCATTGCTAGGTGCAATTTCAGTTTTCACCAAAAGTCGGCTCCGATGTATTGAGCAAATACTTTTGTTGGCGATCAAAGCAACGATCTCTACATAGGTCGACTGCGAAGTCAATACAGACCCCGGCAAAGGCGGCATGGTCAACACATGTTATCCATTATTCAGGAGCGTCACGCGAATTGCTGATTACCCTGGCATCGAAGGCTGAGAACAAAATAGCGGATTGTATTATGAGAAAACTAGCTACATCAACAAAGAGTCGCGGGCTTCAAACAACTTGTAAGCTGATAAAGCTAATGAGAATAGCTGAGCGCGACCCTCTCCTTCGAGATACGCCTGGAGCATAACTGCCGTCACGTCGCGATCGGCGTCAGGTACCCTCTTCTGGAGCCCTTCTTCGAGTAGTCGGTGGACAAATTGGATACTTTCATGGATAGTGCGATCACCATCACAGCGCTCGTCATCAGAATCTTCTTCCGTGATTTCCTCGATCACTACTCCAGGTGACCCTTTGGTCTGATCTGCGCGAGCCTCTTCTTCGGCTTCTTCTTCGGCCTCGTCATGGTCTTCTTTCCAATCCCCGCCTGGGTTCATGGCTTCCCACTCGGCCTTGACATCATTCTTGAACTCGATCCACGCGTCGGCCCGCTGCTTTGGAGTTGCCTCGACGCCTCGGTCATAGAAGGTGGGATCCCACGCATGAAGAGCTTGGATATCCTCATGATACGCATCGTCGTCGCTAGCGTAAGATAGCATCACCACAGCCCCCGGCGTGTAGTTGTCGTCTTGGCCATGAACGTTGGGGTCGTATTCGTGCTGTTGCGCGTATATCGCGGCGAAGCCCGGAAGTGGAATTTCCACTCCTGAAGCGGTGTAGAACGAAGGATGCTCTTCCTGGGAATTGACAGGGCTGTGTTCAAGTCCGCGTATCCCTCCATTCGGCTCAAGTTCATTCACGATAGCAGTCGAGACATCTAGGGCGAAGATCTGTGCACGTAGCGTCCGGGTTACGGCGAAAATATCTCGTGGATCAGCGTCGCGAGCCTTCATGACCTTCTCAATTACTCCCAGCCGCCGTTCCATGGTATTCCTGAACAGAAGACATGCTATGGGATGAGACGGGTGGCGGTAATCTTTTAAGAGGGTGATAGTCGATACCATATACATCTTCAGCGCTTGCTCGTCCGGTTCACGAATACCGAACGCAGTACCATCGGCCTTCGAGAAGTATGCACCCATGTTGCTGATGAACTGTTGTGTCCGCCCCGAAGGAGAATACCCTGAAGAGAGTTAGCATGTCATTGCTTCTGTGGATATATCGCAGCTTACTGGTACGTATTGAATGTGAAGACGCGACCAACTTGACTCGTATACAAATGGATATGTATAAGCAGCAGCACGGGAACAGGGAACGGTGTGAAAAGGATGTGAACGAACGGATGATGCGAAAACGTCCAGAAAAACTATGAAGCGGGCTGAAGTGTTGCTACATACATATGGACGCAAGATGTGATCTCAAAACGTATATTCCCCTCTTCCTGCTCCCTGATCTGTAAGTTTCCCCAGCAACTATGGTAATTTGTCGGCCGAAGATGTTGATCTAGTGGTTTGATGCCTCATAACACCGCTACGATGAGGCCACAAAGAGCAAGCGCTGATCTCAACTTCGCGCGGGTGAGAACTCCGGTATTGGCTTGATGGGGCTCACCCGGCGGAGAGCACTGGAGGGGTCGCCACTAGTCAGGTACAGCCCTCGAACGACTCTCGCACGCACCGGGCTACTTCTAAACTTCGCGGCATTGGAGGCGCGGCGGCTTACGTCTGGTCATCTCCGCGTCCGTTGGGTTTGTTGTTGTCGTTCGTCGGGGAGTACATGTAAGGATTGGAAAGTTCTCGCTAATGTGGACGCATTCGGATAGCGCGGATGCAACCCCTTAGGCATGCCCAAGTGCGATTCGCAAACGTGGCTCTACAACTTCTCCGCCAGCAGCCGCCTGTCGACATTCGGTTCATCAGGGAAGTTGCCTGCTTCGAAGATTGACAGATACATCGTTTCCAGACACCGCCTCGCTTGTCACCAAGCCGTCTGTTGTGTGCGCATCATGCCCTACCTTGGATGTTGCTCTTCGATACGGTCCGTTCAAGACAGGGACAGGGATACCACCATGAACTGCAACTTTCGATAAACACGGCCTCGCTCGAATACACCGGCTTTATACAACATCTAAAAGGCCGTGTCTCCAATGATAGCGTCGTTGTGGGACTGCCAAGGGGCACTTCTGGGTGCGCGGCGTTGCTCACCTCGAAGAAAGCGCATCGACGTATGCGGTAACGGTCACAGGATATACAGAAACATCTGCACACGCTTCTCATACGTTATTGCTCTGTAGCTACGAACCCGCGATCACCTTGCGGGTTTTGAGTGTAGCTGAATGAGCGTGGGCGTTAGCGTGAACTCGCGTTTCATCCATCAGCCCTGCCACCGTCCTTGCAAAACGCCAAATCCGCGCCGTTCAACACTTGACCCCGATATGGTTCCGGGAAACATTGCCAGTTCCCCCAGCAACTGGCGGGTGCAATTATGTCTGAGCTACATGATGGCCATGATATATTGTTATGATACACAGGAAGCATCGGTCTGCATGCCCTCTTCTTGATATCTGCACGTCTGCATCACTTCACTACATCTTTCGGTAGCCTTCTCAACTTGTACATTTTACCGAGGCTCGCACGCTAGCTCGATCATTTGCGATGGCCATGGAGATACCCCCGGTGTCCGGAGATAACGGCGACTCGTCCAAGCCTGGATTTCGCGTTCTGCCGCGAGAAATTCGTGACGAGATCTACGGATACTACTTCACGCTGGAAGATGGTTATACGTTCAACTCTAAGACGAAAAAGCTCCATCCTACGTGCAAGCTGAAGAACTCTCTAGCTCTCACATTGGCGAACAAGCAGATCAATCAAGAAACCCAGGGCCTCGCTCTGGAGCGCAACACGCTTCACTTCGCTACGTCATTCGCCCTCGAGACTAGCGACACGCTTGGAATGTTCGATTATCTCCTTAAGTATATCTCTACGACTCAGTCAAGACTCTTGCTACGACTGATCGCGAAATCGAACTGGGTTGCTTGCCAAGCTTACGCTCACGTTGAGAAGCACTACCCTCGCTTCTTACCTATCGTCAACCACGCCCGAGACGGGAACTATGATGATCTTTCAGCAGACAACAAATGCTGGAAGGAGACTCCGTCGATTGCCCGAGCGTTCGTTCAAGAGACCCTGCACTCTGTAGTAGGACATGAGAAGTTCCCCAAGCTTCCAGCCCGAGACCTAGGCCCTTCCATGGAACATTTCACGGTCGCGAACGCGCATTTCGAAGCCTGGCGTGTTCCCACTAAGGACGAAGTCGAGAACTTGGCATTCCGCACGCACCAGATCCCATCAGCGGAAGCGCTGTCGGCTAGGGCGCCAGTGCATCCGGATTCGGACGACTTTGATCGGATAAAGTTTTGGAACGGAGAAAAACACCGAAGTTCAGCCGCATCTCTTGCGATCCAGTTTATACAATCTCTGGAGGAAACATCAAGAGTCAAGATCAGGAGCGTTGTGCTGAATGAAGATCAGATCTCTGTGGCGTGGCCTGAGTCTCATGGTCGCGGCTTTATACCAATCTGCCAGGAGAACCCCCAAATCCGAATCAAGCGTCGTGTCAATCTTTGGGGAAACGCTGTTCTTGCAAGTTGCTCAGATGAATTTCCTCTCATAAACCTCATGACCCCTGATCACTCAGACCATGGATCCCCAGCAAGCGAACGTCTGCACGCCGGACTCATTAGTCACAAATGTTTCGCCCAGTGGTTAATGGAAGCGAACGCACTAGCGGATCTGGGGATGCCGGGAGGTTGTTTGGAACTATTTCTCGATGGCGACCCAATCCCAGGACCAACAGCCGAGCTTTTCAAGATTACATTGATGGATGCCGCCTGGCAGTTGGCATATGAGGACTTCAACCGCACCGCGGTACCAGATGGTGGGCTACTGGTCGACGAGCGTTGGCCTACATGTTATGTGATGCATGGGTACCCGCAAGCACTACAGGACATCATTAACGGGACTTCGATCGTGAAGTGCACCTTTGATACAGGATCGATGCCTGATTGGACCGTGGTCAGGCAAACTAACGCACAGCTATCGAGGCTTGGATGGGTAGAAAAGTGGAGAAACGACCATCAGGATGTGATCCTTAGTACCGAAACGCCTCTTCCCTCCTGGCTCGACTTACGACGTGAAGAGCATTTGCGGTTCCGAGTGTCATACAATGCGAAAAAGAAGCTGTGGGAAACCCGCCCCGATCAAGGTCGCCGTAACTACCACCCCAGTGCAGCAGCCAGGGAGCGTGTACGAATCGGAGCCCACAATGAGGTTGAGACGCAGGTATTGCTTCAGAACGTCGCTGCAAGAGCATTCCCCAACCGCACTGCAAGGCCAATATCTCGGGTGAGGCGAGAGCGAGACGAAAGACGACGAAGGGAAGGCTCCCAAGCTGTGGTGCAACCCTAAGATTGAGGTTGGCATGGTCGAGCGTGTGTCACCCGCGCCACGTGGCTGCTGGTACTCCTCGCTTATTTTCACGCTACTGAATGGTTTGCTTCGGTATAGCATTGTCGCGGCACATGGGTTGAGGTCTTGTTTTGTGTTCTGGAGGATATGTTGCCTACCTAGGTACGCATCCGCGGTCAGCCGTCATTTGTTCATCAATTATTTCGATCATCATATTGTAGATTCCGTAGTAATACATGCCATTTCGAACTCTGACGATTCAATCAAGGTCGTGCAATGCCGAAAGTCCCTCCCTGCAGTTGGGACGCTAGAGTCAGCCATGTGCCCCGCAATACTTTGACAGCAAGCATCCTTCTGCTTCCGAGGTCAGCTTGCAAAGTAGCATTCGTCGCTATGTTGAGATGCACCCTTCGCCAACACGCTGTGACGATGTGTTTACACTGTCGCGCTCTCACACGCCACTCGTCCGACACATCCACGGCTACCTAGGTAGTGTTTGCGACGACGTCAACTTCTGACAATGAGATGGTAAGCTCCGGCATGTCCCTAGGAAGGCAAGTTTCCCAAGCCGCGTACCACCTATCTATGGAGAAGCTTCATCTGGTAACCAAGTCGATCATTAGTCTGCTACCATAGTGCGCGTGTTGGGCTGTCAGTCGTTCGACATCTGCGCGTCCCGAGGTTGTGTGCACGCACTGCCACGGGCGCGAAGAAGCCGGCCCCAGCCACGTGCCAGCCTCGCCCACGTCGCGAACCCCACCTGGGCACCCAGGGTCTCAGGGAGCGCAATACATACACCCCGACTACACAGGCAGCGCTGCAGCGCAGTGCGCTGCAACCACACGTCGCATCGGCTCAAATGCTTACCAGCGCGGTGGTAGATGAACGCTGGCACGAGCTTCATCGTTCACACCAGCTCTAATGCGCCATACTGCCAAACTTTCGCCATCGCGTGAGCCGCGCTGTTGGCTCGCCAACGCGTGCCGGCGCGGTCAAATGCTAACCTTACCTACGGTCAGCATTTGGATTTGAATCTATCTAATGTGTTTCCACATTCCCGCAACTCCCTTGTCTAGCTCCTTCTCGGTACAAACACGCAACTACAACCTTGCTAGCACGAGCAGTTGCCAGCCTCCTCGCCGGCGCGTGTGCGTGACATGTGCTATCGTGTCTCCGTAGATGGTTGCTGGAGGCAACGAAGGAGGGAAAGGCGCGTGTCAAAACCTGGCCGTCATCTCGACATTGTGTTTGCAGGTCACACCGGCGGCTCACATTCCTTCCAACCCTAGCCCTGCGACAACTATCCCGAAAACCATTATGGTACAGCGAGCGCTTCCAACCTACCAGAGTTGGAAGTCAGATTTCATCAAATTACGCGCAAGGTCACCTGTTCCCTGGGCGAAAACTCCTCTCGGAAAACTACCACAAGAGCTGAGAGACGAGATTTATGGCTATTACTATACGGTTCCTGGCGGTTATGTTGTTAACCCATCTACCATTAAGTTAAGGGCGGCTAATGGCAAGCCCATAGATCTTTCACTAGGGTCAGTCTGTCTGGCGCTTCGTGCAGAGACTATGGGTGTGGCCTTCAAGATGAACGATGTTCACGCTACCACTACCTCGCCAGAATCGGAGTTCAGCGCGTCGGCCGCGCGTTGGAGTCAAGCTGTCAGACTCAATCATCTGCTGGACTGTGAAACCTTACGCGCTGCTAGCTCACTCATTACCGAGGACGTACGTCGCGACATCCTCGAAAAGTTTCCGGGGTATGGCAGTGTTCTCGAAAATCTGAACCGCGGTACGTATTGTTTTGCCTCGGGATCGATAATGAGTACCACCGACGGTCCATCTACGGAACGGAAATTCCTTCAATACGCGTTGGACCTCATACAGAGACAACCTGGCTTTCTAGCGAAAGTGGGGGAGGACTTGTTCAAGCTGAGAACCAAGGCAATGCTGAATGGCCCGTCAAGCCTGGACTATTGGCGCATGACGAACGAACCCGGCAGCATACTCGACCCAATCACATTGCCTCGGCTGAGGACTTTATTGGGAGCAGCGGGATACACGATTCATAGCTTTTCAGCAGCCGCAGTCATGATCGTCTTCCTGGCACGCTACATGCAGCTCCCTGTCTTCACGCAAATTCGTCAAGTACATTTGCATGAAGATCGGCCGTCGGCAGCATATCCAGAATGTCATACGGAGCCGTTTGTAAACTTTTTGGCGATCAATCCGAACCTCAAAGTTCACCGCCACGTCAGCTTGTGGCGCAATGTTTGGGCATCGGTATGTAAGGAAAGTGGTAACGGAGTAATGGACTTGAATGACATTTGTAAGTTGCCATGATGAGCTCCATTGCGAAAATCGTACTAATTCACTTGCAGTATCCGAAACAATGTTTCGCTGGATGAACGAAGCCGAGCAAGTCATTGCTAGTGTGGGTGGTGGTAGAAAAGTCTTCAAACTGGAGTTCGATTGCGACGGCATGCCTGATATCGCGAAAGAGATGTTTGATCTGGCACAAGAAGGTGCGGCATGGCAAGTTGCGATTGGCCTCTCGTTGCAGAAGATAGGATCCTCAGGCGACGCGCTCGAGTCGGGCTTTCTGAAACTGTTCTCATGGGATCCATCTGGCCTGCTCCACGATAAGCTACACCGGATGGAAGATCCCGCATCTCTATCGTGCAGCAACTTCCGTTTCGGAATGGATAGTGAGCTACGGGACTCTATTCTGCAGAACGATTGGTCTCGGCAAAAGTATACCGAGTTCTTCCGTCGGCGGAAGACATGTAACAGTCGATGGGAGAAGTTGTGGAGGGTACAAACAGCGGGAGAGTCATTCAGCGATCCGATAATTCTGGACTGAAGCGCATGGCTAAGTGTTCTTCGTTCTTGTCTTTTTTCTCTCGAAAACTCCTGTAATGTTGGCGTCTCGCTATCACTGCCCTTGGAATGTTATCTGTTGCTACCTCGTTTTGTTGAAGTCACATCGCGGCCTTACTTCCCGAGGTCATCCCCAGAACTCATCAATGAGATGATCAAAACGACCCCGCAGATCGCCGTGGGAGTTTGACCGAATAAGTTTGCTTTCTTCGGCATGTAGCGCGTCTCATTCGGACCGGCCCATGTTGCCAAATTCTATTCGAAACGTTGGAGCCGGAGTTGACGGATGTTGAGCGCTAGTAAGCCCTGGCCGTCGAACGAACCATGGATGACGGATGCGACGAATACGCGAGCACATGCTGCCCCCGCTACCTATCTGACAGGGCTCTTCCCTACTGAGTTCCAGGGGGCTCATAGTGTTTATCGTGAGGGGATATAACGAAACGATTGCCGTAGTTTCCTGCATCTTCAACATACACTTGTCTTTTGATCGTCGTTACGACTTATCTGTATGCATCTATATACAGCGCCGCCATTGAGGACATAATTGGTCTCCTCTGTACGTAACCCTTACCACAAGACTAACGGCTAGGCGCGCATGCTAACTCTTTTCAAGATCATCATTAGCGTCATCGGAACGTTCTATCGCGTTGTTTCTAGCAACATGGGTGCATTCACCTCGACGCCGAATGGAAGCCGGTGGAGACATTGTGCTGACCCGGACGATCTTTCCATCGAGCTGTTCGCGAAACATATCGAACTACTGAATAACGCTTACCGACACCCTTCCCATCCCGATGAGCGCCTTAAGTTCGAGGAGTTCATGGAAGTCGATTTGGAATGGCTCGAGAAATTCATGGCGGACCGCGGTCTGAATCCTGGAGATGCCTATTACATCACTCGAGTGCTTCGCGCGATGGTCTTCGCCAAAGACACGAATCCCAATATAATAGCTAGATTGGAACTAAATGGCGCCATCCTTGAACGAACCTGCCAAGATCAGGATGGCGACGCAGATGCCCTCCTCGCTGTATATCACGGAGAAGGCAAATACGTTCGTCCCGTCCCGAAGCCAGACTCACCCCACATCGTACTGCCTCCTATAGATGCGATCTGCGCACAAGAGATCATTTGCGATCGGGGCAGGAGTTGCTCGTACAAACACAATGGTGAAGAGCAATATCATATGGAAATTCCACAGAGAGGTGCGGGTAAGCATACTCATCACCGCGACGTGGTTGCAGACGCGATACAGGCTCTTCGTGCGTGGGATCCGGAGTTCTACAGACGTGGCAACACAGCGCTGAAAGGATGGTGCATGCAGGGTGGAATCCCGTGCAGAGCCCTCTTGGATGACGATGTACCCGTCGGGACAGGGAAAGCAGCTAGTCAACGGAGAAGGCGGCAACGTGCTAAGCAGAAGAGATCAGAGCAGGGTGTTGGACAATGATGCCGCTGGTAGCTACTTTCTGGAGGGATATAGTCCAATGTGCTGGTGATCGTTTGAAATCTTACGCTGTTGTTTCTAGTCCAATTCTTGCTTGTGATTTCCACCTATTGAGCCAAGTTGAGATTTCTGTAGCGCGCCTGCTGCCTCCACGCTAACGTTGGAAAAGATTGAACACCATAGACCCTACATTAATGTTAGGTCATCTACTCTGCATATGTTTGTCTTACTGTACTCTGCTGACTTGTTCATGTCTTCCTTGTATGCCCAGGTGAGGTGCCACTGTACATGAGTTTAACGTGACAGATGTCACGGCCTTTGCCGGCTCGTCCATCTAGCAGTAGTCGCGACTAATTATACTGAGGCTTTGTCAGTTGTTCGACAACGCTCCGTCGGCCAAGGATTTTGAACAAAGACTCTGGCCGGCAATGAAGCCTTGACAGGTGACCCACTGCCGTTGGCCATGTCAGAGAGGGCATCACGTGATACCATGCGGTCAGGCCCCGGGAGGCCTACGTGCCCAGCAACTCTCGGGAACAAGAACGTTACGCGCATGTCTCGGGCATTAGCTTTCCAACGATCACCGAGGCTCATCCAGATCGAGAACGAAGGTAACCATGGTATTGTGAGAACCGCTTCAGGTGCGCCTCGCTGCGCCGCGCTAGGACTGCGACCGAACGCCGGCGGGCCCTCGCGGTTTGTCGGGCTTGAAGCGCGGCCGCCCTCCCCCCCCCCAGAAACTCCTAACACCGCAACCTGTTCCCCAACTCGTCATCTATCAGCGACTGCAATGGCTCAATCTTCCAATCACATATCAAATCAAGCGAAGCAAGGTTTCGTCGGTTTGCCCGCAGAGCTTCGGGAAGAGATTTATGGGTATTACTTTAGGCTCGAAGATGGCTACACATTCAATCCCGCAACCAACAAGTTCGTCGCGTCGCATTCGGAGAAGAATGCCATGGCGCTCAGCACAGTCAACAAGCTTGTCGCGGTAGAAACGCGCGATTTCGTGGTCAAATACAACGAGCTCCACTTCGCCACAGTTCAGATACCTTCAGCCATTACCAAGGCGCCGCAGATGCACCACCTCCTCACCGAGCTATCCAATGCGCAAGACAGGGCTTTGCGAAGGCTGCTTGCAATGTCAAATTGCTATGACGAGGCCGCCCGTGTCTATGTTCGAGCAAACCATGCCCAATTCTTACCTCTTCTTGATCACGCAAACACAATGCGTCCCCATGATGTCGACGGGTACCGAGAACATTGGAAGGAAGTTCCATCTATCACCCGCGATTTCATAACAGCGACGATGGATACCATCAGGCCGCGGTTCTGCCTGGACTCGGTAGCACAGCCGTCGGAAGCACGGCATATCTATTTGAAACGCCTTTTGGAAGCTTCACAAGGCCAGCCATTCGAGCCATGGCGCATCCCCACAGACATAGAGCTTGACGAAATGCAAAGGAACATGGACACGATGCGACCATATGATCTCATGAATGAAGAATTCGTAGAGTGCAAGCAGCGGTTCTCAGCTGCCTCCGTCGCTATCCAATACATGAAGTCTCTTCGCCCGGAACTCCGGAAGAAGATACGAAGGATCGTATTGGAGGAAGAAGAAGGCTCCATTGCATGGCCTGAATGTCACGCTCGAGGCCTTATACCCTTCTGCCAAGAGAACAAAGATCTACGTATTGATCGCCGCATCGATATCTGGAAATTGATGTTCTCAAGGTCGTGGAATGTAATGGCAACGACAAGTAGCCAAACCATTGCTCCGTGGCTCATGGAAGCAGTCGTGTTGCTGAAGCTGGGCATGCCTCAACGTGCATTCAAATCAACATTCGTCGGCGATGCGAACCCATCACTGGCCACCCAAATCTTCGGCGTCGCCATGAAAGACGCAGCCTGGCAAGCCGCGCTTGAGAGGCGCACATTAGCCAATTTTGACCGAGCTATGATTCGAACAAGTCCGGCTTTCATCATGGCAGGATTTCCTAGAGCCATGCAGGATATCGCCGATGGAACGTCAATTGTAGATTGCAATTTCCCTATCGCAGCTCTACCCAATGAAACGGATGTGTCACGAAAGCATATACACTGGTCATTGAACAGATGGTCGAGGAGATGGATTGCGAGTCGTACCGAAATCAACACCTCCGGTCGTTGGCCGTCATATCAGGCGGTTATTGATCTGACGTTCGTACCAAACACGCAGGTGCTGCCAGCACCTGACTATTCATTGATCGACGATGTGCCAGGCTATCCAAACGACCATACACCAGTAGAAATTTCGTCACTCCAGTCGTTACTTCAGCCGGAGGATGACGACATCGAGCACGGTGGAGATATGCATGAGACTGCGTAGTCTGATGCAGGATACACTCATATGGAATTGAGACAGAGAAGTGATGAGAGTGTGCGAGAGAGGGCTGCGAAAAGATTATGTGATTGAGACCGCCAAGGAAGATTTGAGGGCTCATTAGGAGATGCGATGATGCTGTAACGATACATTTGAACAGGCATCTTATGCTCTTAATGTTTGGACATTGTCTACGCAGTCCGCGGATGAGTCAGTGATGAAAGCGGCTTGTCGTGGAGCTTGATCGCTGAATCAGGTCTTTTTCGACAGTCTAGGTAGTTAATGACATTGATAGAGTACTCTTGTTGGGGGTTTATCATCGGGTAGTGATGAAACCGCTGCCTATGGGGTTGTCGTCTTTCATCCCAGACCGTCGGAGCGCTGTGCCATCTGCGGCATGGAAAACGGCCCTTGTTTCTCGGGCCCCGCCACTGACGGCATGCACTCTTGGAATGGATGCATCTGACCGGTGCTTTCTGGGATGATGAAGCCGAATGCCTGCTTTTGTTGATATAAGGTCGGGCAAGAGATGCCTTCAGATGGCTAGTTCAAGGCATGCTGTTGAGTTGTTGAAAGCATCTACAGTATGGGCGGCGGGTCTCCAGGGCTCACCCCCAGCTCCCCGCGCCGCCTTGCCCTTACAGTACACGACGCGACTAGCACAATCACATCCCCTGAAACGGCCGACAGCACCCACATAGCACCGGCGCGTGAGCAGATGAACGATAATCCGCGCTCGAGCTTCCAGGTCGCCGGTTGCCCCATCGATGGCATCGGGCCGCCAGCGTCGCGTACACCGCGGCGTCCACATCTCAACGCGTGCGGACGCGACATGAAGCTACCTAGGTACGCTCAGCTTCACGTCCAACAGCCATTGCACCCTCGGACTCGCTGTGACGCCTCCATCTTTCCATACACATTTGCTACCCACACAGCAACAGTTACTCGGCAAAGCACGCCACCAATTGCGCTGAGATAGCCGCCTATCTCACGTCGTCGCACCCCCATCCTCACGAACGAGCAGCTACCGTCGCCTACAATCATCCAAGCATCTGGCTTGAAGATGACGCCCTCGATATCCCGAAAGCGCTCACGCTCCGGCTCGCCCAGCGAAGAACAGCCATCGAAACGTGCACACACTCAATCCTCGATATCAAGCGCCCTTGATGTTCACGCTACCCCCGACGAGACCGACCACAGCGCGGCGGGCGATCACTCGCCCTCCGTCCCCGCCACGAATAACTTGGAGGGGTTCTTGAAGTGGCCTCGCGAATTGCGCGAGCGAGTATATGAGTACTACTTCACCATGGAAGGTGGCTACCACTACAACTATACCACCAATACTCTCACGACTGAGCGCGGAGATTGCGTCAACTACCAACTTGGCCTGGTATGTCGCCGGATCGCCATCGAAACCCGCGAACTTCCGTTCAAGCTGAACGATGTCTGTTTCACTACAAGCTATTGCGAATCTACTTCGGAGAGAGCGGGCCATTTCGACATACTGCTGCGGACCATAGACGCAAACAAGAACTACCTGGTTCTCGGCAGCGCCGCATTTGGAGGCCAACTTGATAGCGCTCACGATCATGTAGCCAAGCATTTCCCGTTATACCGGAGCATCATTCCCAAACATATCGCGGCACTTTCGAGGTGGCCTATGGACTGGATCAAGGCGTTGGGTGAACCTGCTTCACAGAATCGTCGATTCACCTCCTCAGTACTGGACTACCTGGCGCAACTACCAAACTTTGATCAGTTCTCAACGACACAGGACTGTTGGACTGATGTGGTGCCAGATGTTCGCCGCATCGTGGACTCTCATGTCGACCCATGGTCGTTCCCTAGCCAAGACGATGTCGAAGAGATGAGCCGTACAGTACCCGACTCACTCCTGCCGGCATCGGCGAACTTTCCGAGACGTTACTGGGACCGATTAAAGTATCGCTTCTCTGCCGCTGCTATCGCTATCCACTTCCTTGATAGTCTACCCACCGCTGTACGCAAGCGAATGCACGCCATCACCCTGCATGAGAAACACGTTTCTGTCGGGCAACCAGAGTGCCATGCGGAGGGTCTCATCCCGTTCTGTAAAGAAAATCCACAACTGCGTATCGCGCGTGTTGTGGACCTTTGGGGGAACGTGTTGCAAACACGCTCCGATCCTCTCTACAAGGTTGTTTCCACCTATCGAGAATCCCCAGACCCGGGTCTCCGGAAATTGCGTGCTGAGCATGTCACTGAAGCTATTGCAGCATGGGTGATGGAGGCCCTCGCCCTGATCAAGCTAGGCATGCCAGTGGGCATGTTCTCGCTAATCCTCGACGGCGCTCTCCAACCGAACAAGACATTCCATGTATTCCAGACTGTACAGGTAGATATTGCGTGCCAGAAAGCCTTCGAACTCCACTGTGCCAACCCACAGACCTGGGTCCATAAGCCTAGCGCTGTTCGGTGGTATGAGACCAGGAAGAGCCCATGTTATATCATGAAGGGCTTTCCACAGGCCATGCAAGATATCCTCGACGACAAAGTTGTTAGTGTGGAATGCAACTTCACAGTTCCACCACCCCTTCCTCCCGTCTTCGATCCAGTAGCCTTACAATGGCCCTCTGTCTGGCAACACTTTCCTTCTTTCGACGATTGGGCACTCCTCAAAAAGAACAACCATGGCGCCGACCACGACACCGAAGAGCCTTTGAAAGGGTGGCTGTCGCTGCGCATGAAGAATCTAATTTCCGATGGCGTGCAGAATGAGGGCTCCATCTGGTGATGCGGGTCGCAATGATGGAGAGTCAACGTGCTTAGTGATCACAATCCTTGTTTCTTACTACTATGTTGATATGTCTCTCCCTTCCATCGAATGCGATGGGTCACCAAAGGAGTACGTAGCGCGAATCAACTACTTTCCAGAGCCTTACGTCAACGACTATGTCTGTCTCGTGCTGCCTCCATCGACGATTATCAGTCCGTGCACGTGTTCATGTTCCAAGCGCCACGGGCACTTACCTGGGGTAAACACCTGCCGAGACCCCTCCAATGCTGTGCATCACAACTGGCCTCACGTCTTCATCGAATACTTGCGCTCGCTACGAATTCGCGTACTGTGATTATAAGGACAGGCAACGTTACAAACGCAAGGTTCGATGGAAGCGCATGACTATACACACTTTCGCTGAGATTATCGCCCGCGGAACCAGCCCTAGCCCATTGGTTTTCGGAAGGGCCACGACCCAACATGTCGGAACCGGACAGGTCGCCCACGGCACCAAACATCTCGATATCTGAAGCAGACGACGGCGTCAAAGCGTCTGATTCGCTCTCCAATAGCTACCTCGGCAGGCTACCACAGGAGTTGCGAGACGAGGTTTACAAGCATTACTTCACGACGCGTGGTGGCTATCGCATCGATCCCATCACGAACACCTTGCGCGCAGTTGATAGAAATCCCATTAATCTGTCATTGAGATTAACATGCCACGCGATCGCGAAAGAGACGGAAGGGTTAGCGCTCCAATACAACACCATCCACGCCACGACTACCGAAGAGAAGCGCTTCGCAAAGGCAGTTTACAACTCGTGGAGAGTAACAACAGGGCATTCCTTCGATCGTCACAAGGCTCTGGTGGAGCTCTCTAGATGCATTACCCCAAGTGTAGCCGATGAGATCCTGGAAGGGTTCCCTCAGTATAGGGACGCGCTGCAGGCGTTGATAGCAAACAGAAATAGGGAGGGGCCAGGTAGGGAATACATGCGCTGCACTCCTCCCACAGCTACAGAGGCCTGGTCTACGGAGCTGAAGTTCGTCTCTCGCGCCGTGAAAATAATGAAAGAGCGCTTGGATCTCCCCGGAACACTCTTCAGAGCTATAAGCCAACTGCATTTCTGGGTGCTATCAGAGACCGATCCGGAGCAGCAAGCGCCCTGTTGGGAATTCCAGAGGAAAACGAACCCTTTCGAAATCGCTTTCAGCCGGATCGATGGAAGGCCTGTTATGAAAGAATATAAACCGTCATCGTGCTTCTCCGCAGCGGCCGTGGCAATATGATTCTGGAACGCCCTCGATCCGAAGACCCGCAGGCAAATCCGACGATTCGATATAGACGAGGAGAGGCGCTCCAGATTTTTCCCGATGTGCCATGCGGAAGGTTTCATCCCGTTGTGGCGAGAGAACCCTAAGCTTCGCATCAATCGTCGCGTCAATCTCATGAATACCATTGTCGAAGAAGCTCGTCAACCTCATATGAAAGCTTGGCATCGGCAGCATGCGCATCATGCAGACAGTAGGTGTTGTGGAAGCTCAAAGCTCAAGATTAAGGCTGACAGGCGCACAGAACTGAAGACACTTTGGGATTGGATTGCCGAGTTCAAAGCAGTACATGCGGCATTTGACATACCTAAGGGGGCTTTAAGCCTCACCTTTTACTCTGACGCGTCGCCTGAAGGCACTAAAGAGATAGCCAATGTCATTCAAGAAGCAGCAGCCTGGCAGATGGCGCTCGACAAAGTAGCGAAGAACGGAAACGCAGGTAACACGCATGCTTTTGGCTTCAATTACTCGGATTACCTCTGGGATCCACGCGGGCTGGCGTGGCAGGAATTGAAGGACATATCAAAGGGTTCCTCGGTGATCAAGTGCGACTTTGATATGGGCCAGTCTATGGACCCAAAGGACTTGTATGATGGCAGTGGTCGCTGGCCGCATGAGAGATGGAATAGCCACTGTGCTGTGAATGACTCCAACAGTTGGCGGCTTACGTGGCAAGTACGATAACATCCATCGGTCGCATTCCACGATATCAATGAAGCAGAACATTACCAGGCACAGAAGTAGTGATAAATGCGACATTCTCAATTAATCTTTCAACTAAGCGAACCTTGCATCACGTATCTGTGACACCACATCCCCCAAAAGTCTACCCTACGACCCCCCAAACCCCTTCTCCAACCCCCTCAGCCAAATCCCCGCCGCATACGCCCCCGGATCAGGAATCTTACTCCTCTCA